TCTGTCTTCACTGAATTATTCCCCTTTAGTATCACCCCGAAGCTGGTGTGAGGCTGTTCCCTGGTACTGCACTCACATATTGGCACAGGGCAGCACAGCAGATCTGCAGAAAAGAAAACAGAGTGGAGGGGCTGTGCCAAGAATTCCTTTATTGTGCTCACAGATCCAGGACTCTATCATTCATTAGGGTCATTATTTCTGACACAGGTTATGTACAAGATATTCTAGGTCTGGTTCTGTAGCACATTGCTTCTCTTAAAACAATGTGAATGACTATTACAAATTATGAAGTTAAAATGTAGAGCCTGGTCATGACAGACAGTTTTGTCCCAAAAGCTCAGAAAATTACTTGTTCCTCCACCTGCCAATTCAGTCTTTGCTACGAGTGGGAAAAAATAACTTACATTGAAGTAACCTACATTTCTATAGAATATCTTAAGCAAAAGGAATTTTTTTTAAATGTCTTGATGACAAAGATACAATTTATTTTTAAGAAAAGATCATGGCCCGGCTTCTCTTTTAATGGCTATTAATTCATTAAGATAATGAATCTAAATTTGTTGATATAATCTGTATAATTTTGTAAAGGATCCTTACATCTGACATGTCAAGATGCATTCAGGACATGTCCATCCACTAAATTCACAGCTACATTTTTGGTATCTGTCCAGTGCTGAGTATGGTGCTTCCTGACAAGACTGAAAGGTGACCAAGTTTGGCAGAAGTTGCTGCCATGGTTGGCTAATGATGCTTCTGGTGCTCTACAGAAGCCAAATCCTCCAGGGTAAGAGACTCCTGATTCCTAGAAGGTTGTTTTTCTGCACAAGAAAAAGATGTAGCCTGGGAGTAGCTCGGTCTGTGGCACTGTGTGTTCATGCTGAGGATAAGGTGCTTTTGTTTTTGGGTAGCCCTAGCCCAATTGTCACCTAGAGAGTTACCCAGCTTCTTGTTTTTGGCAGTCTGATGATGCTGGCATTACATCCCCTACTAAGTGAGGGGAGCAAAATCAGACATCAGTTTTCCCTCCTCATCTTTAAAGTTTCATGTCTTCCTGTCACCAGATTCCTCTCTTTACCTTTCCCTGACCAGAAGAACACAGGTTTCAGGCTCACAGGGTGTCTCTGGCTCTCAGCTCCTCACTCAGCCCTCTACACCTGTTCCCCATCCCATCACAAAGCATAGAATGTACTTGCTTGGCTTGAGCATTTGTGGTCACTTGTGGTGGAGAGAAGGGCAGTGACTCAGCCCCTTTGTCCCAGGGAGGAAGACTTCTACTTTGGTGGGAGGGCTTATGCTGAATGGATAAGTAAAACCATCTTCTCTTCCACTGAGAGAAGCCCAGTGTACTACCTGATTTAGCAGAATAGCTGACATAAGACAGAAACAAGAGGACCCCAAAATTTAACAGACACCATCTTATCTAGTGGAATAAAATCTGATTCCAGGTTTTTCCCCTATACCTCACCCTCTGCCAGTCTGTCAATACTCCTGAGATTAATCACAGCAGCTCCATCATGATCTGCTTTCAGACATGTTCAGGAATACTGCAATGGTCAACAGTGTCTGCAGTTCTCCATTTTCCCGCACTTGTATTAACACAGCCTGTGACTGTCATGTGTGTTCCAGCTAGGTTTCTGTTATATCAAATAAATCATGCCAGAAGCAACCATTTCATTGGCCTTTGCCTCCCTGTTATGCTACAGGCAAAGTGCCTGGGGTCCTTCCATCTGGAGCCAAAGGCTCTGACCTTCTCCCATCAGCAGCCGGCATTAAAGTGATTGTGTGTCTGCAGCAGTTGTGTAACAGGAGGAAAGGAGGACTGAAAGCGCCCTGTAACTGAGCTTGCTCCTGCCTCTTTGATGAGTCATTTAAAATTTGTGATACAAATTCTCTCTCAAAGAAAATGTTGCTGTTTTAAACAGCTCTTGCTACATTGTTAAAAGCAACATTTGAAAGCAGAGGCCATGGATGCACAGCTGGACTGCCCCTTTAATTGTTCAGAGCTTATTTCATGGCTCATCTATGCTTGGACAGTCTCATCCCTTCAAAGGCACTTGGGAGAGCCAGGACTGATAACAAGAGTAAGGGCAAAACTTAATATTACTAAAAAGCACATAAACACTTAATTTTCCCTGTCTGAACAGCTCTCCTGACGTCAATGGGAATGAAATCTAGAGCACAGTCAAACACAATCTTATATGTTTGCAGGATTCAGACCTTAAGCAAGCAATGGTTGTTCCACCTAGAAGGAATTATTTGTGTTGGTCTTTCAGGGAAGGCAGGCAGACTTGAGCAATACAAGAGAAAGGTTTTGTGCAGTGAGATACAAGCCATTATCAGCACAGAATTAGCTAGGAAAGTGATAAAGATCACAGTGATTTTCTAGAATCAAGATTGACTAAATTTCTATGAATCCTGTATAACAACTATTTTGACAGATTAATTAGTGTGAAGATATCTGCACAAACCAGAGAATATTGATAAAATGCAGACATTCCCCATACAAGAAGTGAAATTCACTCTTTCTGCATAGAATAATTTCTCTGCCTCTCAGATGCAGAGACCCCTGACAGCATCAGTCCTGTAAGTCCATCAGTTGTAATCTAATATTTTATTTTGCTCTCCAGATTTTTCTACTCTCTGCAAAGGGTACAGTGTATAAGAGCAGAAAGAATTTCAACCAACTCCCTGGTTGATCAAAATGCATTTTCACCATAAACAGCATAAAAGAAAGACCATGGAGAAACATGCAAAAAGAAAAATAAAACAAACCCCCAAACCTCACTTAGCTTTACTTTTCATAAGGGTACTTCCAGTGTTTGAAGATTAGCACAGACAACCACATGCAAACTGAATTTTTCAAGAAACTTTTCTATTCTAGACTATGGCCTAATGTTTCTATAAAATACCTTATTATACAGCATAGAGAAAGTTTAAAAGATGATAGAAGCATCAAATATATTATATAATCCTCTGTTCTTTCAAATACCTGCTATTTACTCATGTAGATGGTCCCAGTTAGTTACCTGGGAGAGATGAGCAAGGGGAAAAGGTCTACCACCAAGGAAAGGGGAAAGGTCTGCCAGAAAAGTCTTTTTCTTGTTCCCACAATGAACGCACATAACACTAAGAAAATCCCCAAGGAATGGAGATTCTTTTACTTCTAAAGACAGCAAAGAGTATCTGCAAAAAAACCTCAGGGAGACAAACAGCATGACTTACAGCTGTTCAGTACCGTCACCAATCTTTGAGACAGTTGTAAAGACAGAAAATCCTTTTTACAAGACAGCAGAACAAGGTCACTTTGCTTTAACCTAAGAGAATTGCTGATCTGATGACACTAAATGAAGAGCAGAAAGGAATAATTAGATGGGTCATTCCTGCAAGCTTTGCTGTTTGCTACCACTGTCCAAATTTCTCATGTGATATAGCTGAGGACACCTGATGTCCTCCTGCTACTTTGAAGTCAACAGCCTTTAATCAGCAGCTGCATCTGGACCAGTTCTGATGGTTAATCTCCAAACTCCCTGAAAGGTCCATGCTATCCAGTTAATCTGTTTTGCACTTCATCTCTTGCAGGTGAGTTGAAGCCTTGATTTTGTAGAAAAAGCTCTTATCTCTAACCATTCCTTCCTTTTATGGATATTTTTCCTGTCCCCCAGGTGCAGCCCTGGGTATGGCTCCTGCCAATCCTTTATTCTAGTCTAGTTTATTCTACTCTCCATATGCTCCTGTGGCACTGCATATTGATCAGCTGTTTCCTGGTAACAGCTGTATTTTTTTATTTACATCAGCTGTGCTTTGCAGTCTGAAATGCCTTGTTTTCAGTGTACACAACACGAGAAACAATAGCACAAATATAATGTTGTCAGCAGTTAGATTGTGGTATCCAAGGCATGATTAAAGGATACCCTTAGGCTAGAATATTGGTTGGCAAGGGCTGAGTTGTCAGCCTCAGCCTTAAATAATATGGAAAACTGCATCTGTGTGCTGCTGGAAGCCTAATTATGCGTCTTCTACACATTTATCACAGCAAGAACCTTATCTCTAGGTTACAGTCAAGAAATAAAATTAAAAGGTTTTGTGACTTCTGGACAGACAATATTCAAATGATAACCCCATGTGGCATTTGCAGCCTCAACAAGGGGCTCTTTGGGAAGTGGCATACTCCAGCATGCCCTCCTTGCCAGGAGTGCCTCAAGACCAGGCAGGTCTTGAGTGAACTTCCCAGCAGCTATCCTGGCCATGAGTGTGAGCAGTCAGTCAAGCAAGCCTAAATTGCTACTGCTTTTTCTACCCATGTCTGGTTTAAAATATTTTTCTTTAAAAGGGATACTGGAAATTTGTCTTTAAAAGGGATACTGGAAACTTCTTGACCCAGCTGACACCAGTTACTCACACTTAAGTGAGTTTTTTAAACATTCACATTGGCATTAAGGCAACAACAACATTATAATCTTCTTATTTATCAGTATAACTTATTAAAAGTAAGCAAATAATTCTTTCCAAGGGTGTATTACAGTCACCTACATACAAGGTGTGTTAAATGACACCAGACAGCTCGTATGAACAAGAGAAAGGAGCTGTCTGGAAGCCACAATAAGCCTAAGCAGAATAACCAGGTTACACAGCACACCTACACTTATCAGCAAGGGTGGACTTGCTTCTGTTCAGTTGCTGGGGCAAACAGCCTGGCAAAGCCTCACAGGCATCTGCCTCAGTGAGGCTGCTTGGCGAGTTTTGACGTGTGCTCTGTTCATGAAGGCTACCTGGCTGAGAGGAACCTAAATAGTTCTGAATGCAAATGATCTCCTTGAAATACCATTCTCATTGTCCTTCCTTTAGAGCACTCAGATAACTGAAGCAGCACAGTAAGTCCACGATCCTGCCCAGAATAGCTGAAGTTAGGAAAGCAATGCTGGCTTCATTAACTTTCTCTGTGAGTTCATAGGTAAGCGAACAGCTTAAAACAGAGCCCAAGGAACTGGTGCCCTGCCCTACAGAAGTCCATGTATTCTAGGAGCAAAGCTATGGCCAAGTATGGAAACCTTCTCTAACAGGTTTTCTTCTTATTGGGATACCAACTTTTTGCTATGAACACCATATGTAACCTGGATAGCTTATCATGGCCTTGACTTTAGTTGTCAGAACTGGGATGTCAGGGTGAGGGACTTCCTGCAGGAGGCCTGGATACAGCCCTTCCCATGAAAGGCAAAAGCCAGGGATTTGACAGAACTTGAATTTCCCCATATGCTTTCACCCTTTCCTTTGTACATCTAAATGTGTTACTAATGGTAGGGCAGTTTTAGACTGTAGCTTAACTGTGAAATATGAATAACTGACACTTAATACAATCCTGTCTCTTCTCAGCTGACACCACAAAGCAAGAAAAGCACCTCATCTCCTCTAAGAACATAGAAAATGTACATTCATGAATCCCCAAGTTAATTAAAAATAACAGAATGAAAATGAACAAAAACTTTAGAACATTACCACAACATGGGATTTAGGATGAAGTACAAATATTATCAAGGAAGACAAGCTTACACCGTCTTAAAATCTGGCTTAGAACCAGTGACCGCAGTTATCTGTAAAAACAGTAATAGATATTAACATCTGTCACTTTTTCTTCTTCTGAGCTTTCTGCTCAGTGCAGTTTTTTTAAGAGATGAGACAAATTTTGTTAACTAAACTTTGGTGCTATAGAGCCATTCACCTGCCATGGTGTGCCTTAACCCAGGGCACCTTTTGGGGGCCATTTTGAAGTAGAGCAAATTTGCCTGCCCAGCTCTCTCCTTCCCCTGTATAGCTTCTGTAGGAAGTGGAGTGTCACAGCTGTTTTCCAGGCATCTTTCTACAGGGAATCAACTTCAAAGCTCCATGGCTGGTGAGGATTTCCCTCCACTATTACTCCATAAGGATTAATAATAGTCAAAGGGTATTCAAACTCTATGTTAAATTCCTAGCCTTTGGAAACCTCCTATCACAGAGAGACCCCAGATAAAGTGGAAGAGATTTAATATTTTGATTTTTGTGCTCTGCACTGGTATGTCTTTATATTAGAGGAAGATCTTCACAGTGCAAACCGAAGGAAGCAGGTCAGCTTGCCTCCCTATCACCAGTAACAGGCATTAGACTAGTCCACGGATGATGTGGAAATTATGTCCACCTATGTCCTTGAGAATTTCTCTTACCAACTCAGGAATAAGTCTTCCATAATACTGTGGGAAAGGACCTCAGTGCATTAACATGTTTGGTAGCATGAAGAAGAGCAGCATAGGAGTATAAAAAGGCATTTGCTCTGAGGACAAGAATGCTCTGTGCATAGAGGGACAGAGGACACTTCCTCTGGCCTAATGAATTTCCACTTAGTATTTTATGAAGAGCAGTTGCATCATAACAGATGGAATTTCTGGTGCTGTGGCTGATGCTGTTGCTGAGAGCTTACACAGCTTAAGCACATCAGTCTGGGTCCATCTTCTCTCCCCAGCAGACAGGGCTCTCTGCACTGCTTTAGTTGTGCCCTTGAAACAGGTTTACTCTACCTTTCTGGCAGTAGCTCTGGTCAGGCTAAGGTTGAATTTTTAAAATATATTTTTAAAGTATACATGGCTGAAGGGAATTTCTACCTCCTCACAGCTGCATGTGATTTTCCCTACCCTGTGGTCAGCTAGATGCTGACAGTACCTACCACAGTCACCATCAGCCTTCAACAAAGTGTCTGAAGGTCTCATAGGAAGAGGTTAAGAGAATTAGAGTCCTCTCAGCCACGCATCTATTTCTGTGCACACACAGTGCCTGGCACAGCAGCCACCCTGATCTAATTTGGCCTCCCTGTGGCAGTACCTTTTAAATGTCATTGTTGATGTTTAATGAACAAATAATCCCAGGCAAAATAGGACAGTAGATTTCATAAGGTAATGGAAAACTTTAAGGGAACAAGACTGACAGGAGTGATGCCTCAGGGCAGAAGGTACTGGGACCTGCTGGGACCCCATTTGTCTGGTTTGCTTCTGCTCAGGTGGGTTTGAACAACTGCCTAATCTCAATATGATATGTCTGTTTATGAACTTCATTTGAAATGAAGGACTCAGAAGAGAAAGAGATCCTGCTGCTGAAAGGAAAGGGTTACCAACTCTGTAAATGGCCAGCAGTACAGCAGCCTGGGTGAGGACCACTCCAGCCCCAAAATGAGCTTCTGTCTACCCCAGTGGTGGTAGGATACTTTCTTTACTTATTTATCAAAAATTTGAGCGGTGCTTCCTGTGATGAGAAAACATATCTAGACAGAAACAGATTAAAATCTTTTTCCTATTTTGCACAGTACACTGCAATGATTATATGAAGATGTACAGAAGATAAATTTGAATAACTAGTCCCCCGGGACCATGATACTGTGCTATCCAAATCCTGTCTTTAATCCACCCTGCAACTGCACAGGAACAATTCCAATCAGGCTAAAGGCAGTAAAAGGATGCTATTCATCTATATGTCATCACTTAGTCTTGCTATATTTTGCAGCTATTTAATGCTTTGCACACTTTCTTTCAAAATTCTGGATGTGCTTATCCCTCTCCAGGCAGCTTTCCAGCCACTCTTTCCCAAGCCTGTAGCATTGCATGGGGTTGTTGTAACCCAAGTGCAGGACTTGTGTGTGTCTCGGTGGTGCAGACCGTTTCTGCTTGGATTGTAGATGCTTCATTTTGCTCCCCATCTTTGTCTTCCATCTCAGGGAGCTGTGTACCCTTAGGAAAACTGGTCTTACTATCAAACACTGAGCTAGAGGAGGCATTAAGTTCCTCTGGAGTTAAATTCAGTTTGCGGTCAGTCACAAGGGGTGTCCCCTAGGGCTTTGCACTGGGGCCAGTCCTGTATAACATCTTTACTGATGACTTGACAAGGAGATCGAGTGTACCCGCAGTCATTTTGCAGATGACACCAAGTTGTGTGGGAGTGTTGATCTGCTGAAGGGCAGGAAGGCTCTGCAGAGGGGTCTGGACAGGCTGGATCAATTGGCTGAGGCCAAATGTATGACACTGTGTGCCAGATCCTGCATTTGGGTCACAACAACCCTAGGCAGCACTACAGGCTAGGGGCAGAGTGGCTGGAAAGCTGCTGGTGGAAAACAATCTGGTGATGCTCATCCACAGCAGCTGAACATGAGCCAGTGTGTGCCCAGGTGGCCAAGAAGGCCAATGGCATCCTGGCCTGTATCAGCAAGAGTGGGGCCAGCAGGACAAGAGGACAGATCATCCCTCTGTACTCGGCACTGGTGCGGCCTCACCTCAATCTTGTGTTCACTTTTTGGCCCCTAACAACAAAAATGACATTGAGGTGCTGGAGTGTGTCAAGTGAAGTGCAACAGAGCTGCTGAAGGATCACAAGTCTTCTGAGGAACAGCTAAGGAGCTGGGGTTGTTTATCCTGGAACAAAGGAGGCTAAGGAGCGGTACATTTTTGCTTTCCACAACTATCTTAAGGGAGACTTCAGCAGGTGGAGTTTCAGCAGGTTTCAGCAGGTAGGGGTTGGTCTCTCCTCCCAGGTAACAAGTGCCAGGATGAGAGGAAATGGCCTCAAGTTGAACCAGGGGAACTTTAGATTAGATATCAGGAAAAATTTCTTCACTGGAACGATGGTCAGCCATTTGAACAGGCTGCCCAGGGAAGTGGTAGAGTCACTATCTCTATTATTTAAAACTTGTATTTAATGATATTTAAATTATTTAAATAAAGGTATTTAAAAGATGTGTAGATGTGGCACTTGAGGACATGGTTTAGTGGTGGATTTAGCAGTGCTGGGTTAATGGTTGGGCTCAATGATCTTAAAGTTCTTTTCCAACCTTAAAGATTCTATGACTCCATGTCATAATGTGGAATGCTATGTTGAAATTTTTTTGCAAGGCTTTTTGCAAACTTCTCCTCTACCAGCTCACCTTTGTGAGTCATGATACCCAGCGGCTGAGGGGCACATAGTATTTGCAAGTGCTTAGTACAGAATTTCCTCTGAACCATAAAGCTCAAAACATATTTTGTGATTTGTTTTCTTTTTCTTCTGGCCACACCCTAGGAACAGTCACTAAACAGGGCTTTAAGAACTCAGGGCAGGGATGTTTTTCCTCATATGTATTTATTCAGAAGCTGGCACAACAAGGTTTTCAAGTGTAATTTAATAATTGCTTGTTACTAATAATTACCACCTTTGCAGTAATCATTATGTAGGATAACTTTTAGCAGTTGGTTAGTCCAAAAGGTGCTGTTAATGCCAGGCACTCTGTTTACTCAGGGACTCTACCTAGCAGCCCTGTGGAGCTCCCTGGCCACGTGGCTGGCGGATGCATGCTGGCTAGTCCTGCAGCTGGGGAGAAGCTATGTCAAAGCCTTCTTTCCCTGCCAACAGCAGAAATTGGCTGCTGGAGCAGGCTGGACCAGACTCAGTGGCAGCCAGCTATTCCTAGCTTTGCAGTGGCTCCACAGTTCCAAACCATTGAAATTAAATGTCAGTCTGACTGAGTTGCTTACACCAGAAATGTTAAATTACAGTGTAAAGAAAACCTCCAGAAGACTTGAATTGCTTGGAGGGTAATTTTACTCTCTCTGGCATCCCATGCATGCTTCCATCATGGTTTTCCTAGTAAGACATCCCTGTTGTTTTTTGTTTGATTGAAAAGTGCATGCAACCTCCAAATAAAATAAATATGTACATGCTTAGTTCCTATACAGGAATTCGGGCATTTAATCTGTCCACGTTTGTTAATATATTTGCATATACATGGCCACTACATAGAGCTATTGTGTGGCTGATACATGTTGCCCTCAGAAATTTGGGATTGTCTAATTCAAGTTACAACTGCATTTTGGATTCCTGCCTGTGAAGCCGTGTTGCACATCAAAGCTGTTACCAACACTAATGTCTCCTTGGTACACAGGGTGTCAAATCAGAGGCAAGATGCTCTCACCCCAAACTCTACCTGCTGGAAAGTCTTCCTGAGCCAGGCAAGGCTGGCAAACCTGCAGGTTGTGGCCATGTCCTCACATGAATGTGAGCAGAAATATTGATTTGTTTAAGCAAAATAAGACTAAATAAGATAGATAAAAAACCATGAAAAATTCCGGAGTGCATGATCTATTTTGACACCACAGTTGAAGTAAAGCACATCTTGACTTTTCCACATTTGCACCTAGACTATCAATTAGGAGTTCATCTACAATGATGCTTAAGTGTCTTCTGTAAAATATTTACTCCGAGTTCTATCACTTATGAGTGTCTGGAAGGTATTAAAGTGGCATTTGTAGCATTGAGTGAACATTCCAGCCCCGGTACAGAAAAGAGCTTAAGGCTTGTGCCACAGACTGTACTGTGATCTCTGGCCAACCTGATAAAAGACTTTTAACTTGCGTTGTGCCAAAGAGTTTCTGAGCAGCCTCTGAGCTGAGGATGCAGTTCTAAGTCTGCTGCTGTGCTCCATTGATTCCCATCACCCACAACCCCTTTGACTGCCCATGCACCTCCCTTCTCTGTCAGGCAAGCGGTGTTTGGGGGTTTGGGAGCGCTCTGGGCAAGAGCTTTGTTGGGAGCAGGACTAGCAGGTTAAAACAGCAAGCCTTGATAATTCTTCTCAAGCTCTCTGCTGGTTTAACACTGGCTCCCAGTGTTCGTGCGAAGCGGGACAGGAGCAATGAACGCCTCCTGATCGAAACCGAATTCTTCACCTGCTGTAATTACCTGAACTAATCTCCTGGTTTTCACTGCTCCTTTTTCTCCATTTATGAATAAAACAGACTCTTGTTATGGCTGCTAAGCATAGCTGCCATAAGCACAGTTTTGTTATCCTTCAGGACAATTTACAAATAGGAAACAAAGCAACTATTCTTACATGAGAAAAGCACAGAAAAAAAAGAAGGGGATGAGAAAGGATGCTCTGTGTCCTCAGAAATTAGGCTCAAGATGGAATACAAGGTTTCCCTCCCTAGGGAGGGAATTAGCAAACTAATTTTTTGGGGAGGGACTAGTATTGGCAAACAAGTGCACAGTGCCTGTGAAATAAAGGTTAAGAGAAGCTTAAGCTGATACTTAGAAGATGCTATGGGCCATATCTTTCTTGGAAAGAGCTGCACTCAGACAGATACCTCAAAAACTCTGCTTTTCTTTATTCAAAGCAAAACACAGAAAAAAAATCCTTGGATAATTATGGAAAGCTCTATGAGCCCCACAGGCTGGAAGTCTGACTGCAGTTAAATATACTGCATTTAACTCTAATTTGAGTTCATAAAGGGATGCCTATGCAGCCCACTGCAGGTACAGCAATAAATAGAAAATGTCCTAGAGTTTGCACATGACAGCCGGGGTGCTGTGTGCACCAGGTGCTCTGCAGGTGGCATTTTCAGCCCATCTTCCTCCGTGTTGCTCTGTGTGTTCATTTTGGCAAAATGTCTAATTTTTGCATGAAATGGCCATTTCCTTTAATGCCATGAGGCAACTGAATCTAATTTTCTAATCTGTAGTTTCAGATGCTTGTATGCATAAGGAGTCATGTCTGTGGGCCAGGGGGCTCAACTACGCAAGCACAGACTGCTGCACATCCAGACTGTGGGATTTGAGAAGCATCAGCAAAACAACAAACCTCGCAAAAAGGCTTCAGAAAATAGCATGGCCTTTAATTGGCAATATTACTAATAGAAAAAATAAAGGGAAGGAAACAGGAGTCATTTAATGCAAGTGGATTTTCAATTATAATGTAGTTCATTGAAAGTTAATTTCATTTAATGTTAATTTTAATTATCTTACATGTGTTGCAGATATCCATAGGATTGATTTAACCTGTGAACTGGGGCTGCTTTTCCTTGCAATCCTTTACATCAGTTATAAAATCCTTGCATACTGTAATGCTACACATATAGTTGCTTCCTTTGGAGCAGGGAGAGGATGAACTATGCAAATTGGACACCGGCCATGTTGCTTAATGTACAGCAAAAAAGACCCATAGATTCTGTGATGACAAGAAAACAGCTCTGACATAAAAAAAGAAGAAATAAAAGCCTATCCAGAGCTATAATTTGTCTTAATATTAGCCCATGCAAAATTTTCTGTAGAAATGCGAAATCCAGAAGTACTGGCTGAATGATCATGGACCACTGATCTCTGCTCTTTCCTTCTTTGTATGCCTGAGACTAACTGAAGTCTGCCTTTCACATTGGTTTGTGGTAAGTGAATTTTGAGACTGTGAAGTAGTCCCAGCTAGAAAATTACACTGAGAACTCAAAAAAAGGGAGACTATAATGATTTTTTGAATCCAGCCAGATTTTTCAAAGCTGATGTTCTGCATTGTGATGATTTTATATGGATGTAGCATTGCAATTTATGTGAATGTTAGAAAAACAGATCTGCATGCAGTGAGTACCACTAACACAACTCTCAAGTGGAATGTGCAGCAATTTAATTTAATGAATCACTAATTTCCTGCTCTTTCAAAGAACTCCCTTTACTGCAATATGAATCACATAAAAATTGTCCACATAAAAAGTGGACACATGTCTGCTTATTTAGTGGTGTGACCTAAAAGTCTTTAATAGGACTATTAAATAAACAAGAACAAACATCTGATGCATTTGTCCCAGTGATGGGCTTTGTTATCTCCACACCAAGTGCTGCATTTTGTATGCACTCGTTTTTCAAAGCAGGGCACCTATGGCAGACTAACATGGCCATTAAAGGGAAGATTTTGACATTTAAGAGATTTCCATTTCTTCCTACACTGAAATCTAAGCCTGACAGACTCATGGGCTAAATTAATTCCTTAAGCCCTTGGCCCAGTGATAAAACTTACCTGAAGCAGAAAATGGAACTGTATATTGTGCTTTACAGAGCTGATCAAAGATCCCCCAGAAAGTGCTGAAGCAATCAGAAATGAATGATCTGCTCCCATGGATAGGAAAAGTGGATGTTTTAATTGCATCAATAATTCACCAATTATTTGTGAGGAGCCTTTTTTGTCTGGGTGGTTCAAGAGCCTATCTATGCACGTTAAAATCAGCTGAGTTTCCTATGATTCTTCTGTGAACACCAAGTTAACTGTGCTGATGGTACAAATATGAGATGGAGGAGCCTTTCAAAATCTGGGGCTGGCAGCTACTGTGTGACTCCTTCCCTACTGAAATTCAAAAGAAACTAACAGTGGGGTAGGAAATTGATCCATACTGAAATGGTCTTTAAAAAAAGGAAAGCCAGAAAATCTCCTGAAGTAGATGATGTACATATATATACTATATTTAATTTACTAATACATTATTATGCAGCAGAAGATAACATACACAGAAGATGCTAACACAAACCTTTTTCTTTTTTTTTTTTTTCTTTTTTTTTTTTATTATTCTTCCACTAAGGTAAGAAACATCTTTGTCACTGACTAATCCATCAGCCTTTTCAGATCCATTTCTAACCAAACATGACATATTTTTTTGGACCTGTGTTTTTGTTAAAGCATTCATTGCTGATGAGGAAAAGCAGTGCCCACCAAGGTAACAGGAAGGAAGCTTGTCTCTCCTCAGTGCTTCTCCACCTTGTGGGGACCCCTATGTAACTCCTGTGCTGCTGGATGGCTTTAAATGGCTCAGGAGGGGAGTTCATTGTCCAGGCTACTGCATTTGTAGTGTCCCTTATAGACTGGAGGCTGAATTTCTTCCTAGTTAACATGAATGGGCTTGGATGTGTTGACATGAGGACAGGATTTGACCTGGGAAATGTCCAAGTATGCTACCTAAAAGGTGAATGTTGGCATTGGTCAATCAGCTTGATGACACTGCTGGCCATAAGTGAAACTGAGATATTTATGTGACATCTGGGAAGAGTCCTTCCTTGGTGGCTGCTGTGCCTGGCAGGGACCATCTGCATCATTTCATATGGAGCTGATTCCTACAGCACATCCTGCCTTGTGAAGCAGCCTGGACAGAGCCAGTATCTCCAGAAAAAGCAAGATGTCAGAGCTGTTACCACACGTAACCCATGTCTGAACCCCAAATCCCCCCGAGATGCAGCTGCCACACAGTGATTTAAGACTCCTTAAGCAGAGCAGGAAGAGATCAGAAGAACAAGGAAAGCCTATCTACAAAGCTAAAGAAAGCGTGTAGCTGGGGCAGGAAAAGCAACAGCTGAGCAGCACCTGGGGGCACTGCCAGGCACAGGCACAGGACAAGTAAAGTGATAAAAAGTCCCAAGAGCAGAGGAGCTCTGAACCTCTGCAAACACTTTAAGGCTTGTCATCCCTGCCAGGTGCCCCTGATCCAGGGACGTCTTTCCAACACAGTGGGATCCAGGAAGAGGGGCTACATATAACAGTGCAGCCTCAGTGCTGCCTATTGTCACTAAAACTTCGCCACAAAGTTATGAGACTGTCTCAGTTTCTGCTTCCTTCCCAAATTTATCACTTTGGGAAAATTACTGATATTGTCCTATGCCAAAGCGATACATGTTTCTATTTGTTTGCTATAGCATTAGAGCTGAATTGTAATGGAGCTTTTTTGATGAAAAGCTGCAGTTGGACTTCATGATCTGAAAGGTCTTTTCCAACCTAATTATTGTATGATGAAATGGCAAAAATTGGCATCAACAAATAGATTTGTTGTAAATTAACTTTTTGCTGCTTTTTTAATGAAAAAAAATGAATTGCAGGGAAAAGCTTGAAGTTCAAGAATGGATAAATAGCCCACTGGTGTGAGCTGTCTCCTCCATTTGAAGGATTTTGGTGTTGGGCCATCAGCTGTGTACTGCTGGTGCTCCTCTGTAAGTTACTGGATATAAGGAAATGTATTCGGGGAAAGCTGTGTGACACATGCCAGGGACTTTTGGCTCCTCAGCCACCTGCTCCAACAGGGGCCACAGCATCTTCCCAGGCTGTACTTTGGGATGAGGCATTTTGCATCTTCCTTTCCAGATACCCTCCAGCTGAAAGGCAATGCATTCCCCACTCTTGGAGCATTTTCCCTGGATTGCTTTCAAATGCCAGAGAATTTCTTCAGCTTGTATGCTGCAGCTCCTCACACATAGCTTTTGGGGATCTCATGTGGTCAGGAGCAGCCTCAGCAATGTGGTTCCCCATAACTGAGTCCAAGCAATGTCCACTCCTGCTTCCAAGGCCGAGCATGATCAGGAAGATTTTTAAAAACTAGGAATGTGGTCAACAGAATAAATACTTAATCTTGCAGTAGAGGACACCCCCAGCACCAGCAACCTCAAAGGCAGTGAAATGAAGTTGTGGGGAATGTCTCAGGCATCTGTCAGGATTGTACTTGATGCCATCCCTCACACCCTTCTCTGTGTGGAAAAGCCATACAGCTCCCTGCTTCATTGAGCTCGAGCTTTGATGGGAGCCTGGTGAGATTTTAACCAACACCTCAGGACAGCTCCTCAGTACAGGGAAAGAACTGCACTTCTTGACAGAGGTGCCTAAAGGTGTGAATTCAGGCAAGGATGCATGTTTGGTGATAGCATGGCATATCCCTCTGCCTTGAACTGGCATACTCTCACCTTTCTTTTCTCTTTCTACCTACCTGATTGGATTTCTCTGTCTCCCAGAGCAATGAACCAAGGAAAAGCAAAGCTTGTGGATGTGGCAGTCAAGAGGTTTCAGAAAAAGAAGACAGGATAGAAAGTGTTCCTTTAAAAGGGAAAAACAAGGCAAAGATTCAGGGGGGCAATGAGAGAAGGAAAAAGTAGAGATTTTACAGTTTTAAAGCCAGCTGCTCAGTCTGGTGTAGCATGACTCATAAACACTGCATGCCCAGTGTTGGCAATAGCACTTTAGGATCCTCTCAGCCCGAGTGGAAAAGTGGTAAATATAGGCAAACATATACCAATTTCATAGTCAGAAAGTCAGAAGGCAGAATATTCATGATAATTTATTAGAACCTAAAAATAACACCGACAAGACCCTTTTAACATCAGTCAATTTCTAGTTCTTAAAAACTAAAACACAGCTTTCTGAATATCGTTACTGGCAAGCCCAGAGAATCTTCCATTATTTAGACATGAAAAGAAATCCTTACTCCCTTCAATCAGAAGGCTGGCACGTGGCAGGGAAGAGGCTTTTTTATATTGCTGGGGATGCGATGCTGAAGCTTGTGGGTGCCTCTCTACATGGGGAACAATCATGGTGGCCATTAAAGGCAGTCGTGCGAAGGTCAGCCATTATGTGGCTTCAGAAGCCAATTCCCCTGAGCCTTCAGCACCACCAGAACCCACATTTGATGCATCTACCATCATATCATCATGATATGCATCATTTGATGAATATCTCATCATTTGATGAGGCTACCCCAGGATTAACCCATACCCTGCGGAATTGTCTTACACCGATAAAAATCCCTGTGCAGTTGGCCCCCTCGGCATGGAATTCCTACATTGTGAACAAGTGGCAGGCTCACTTCTTGCCCAGAATGATGACATTGCAACCCAGTGTTGGTAGAAGTGTAAGGAAGCTGCGATGAAGGAGGACGATGTGGCGGTTGTCACTGCCTGTCCAGTTATACACGTGCCAAACCAATGGCCGGTGTACAGAGAATTAGATTATAAAGCAATTAAAGAACTGAGGACGCTAGTAAAAGAAAGCGGCATATCCTCCCAGCATGCCCTAAGCTACCTGGAGTCTCTCAGTACAGCCTATATGCTCATGCCTCAGGACTGGAACAGCAGAAGGAAAATGATCTTGACAGAGACGCAGTTTGCTACTTTTTATATAAATATGTCCCCTGCCTCTCTGTTGCCACTGTCTGCCCCAGCCAGGGAGGCAGGGAAGATATTACGTAGCATGGACCAGAGGGCTAAAAAGGAGGCTCTCTCTTGCTGAGATGGCATTGCAGCTTTATTCCTGGGGTCCCACGGAGAAAGAGAGCATTCATAAGCGCCTCTTTTTGAAGGCAGGGGAAAGAGGGAGGGTTAGGGTCTTACATCCAATAGGGAGAGCTGGAGATGAAAAGATAAGGGGAAGAAGCTTACATGCTATATTTTCGGGGTACATTCTCGGGTCATACCATTTTTCTAAATGCATTACAACAACAGTTTGCAATGTGGTTTACAGAATTGTGTACAACAATTCACAACACAGCAGAAATGCTGTGAGACAGAAACCCACCAATTGCCGCGCAGCTAACCAGAGAGGGTCCCTATGCAGTCCCTACAGCAAGCATACTATCCATCTGAAGCACATGGTATCATCATTTGCCTAGCCCTGCCGGCCCTGTAGTGACTCTTGGGGATGGGTATCGATTCTAACATGTCTTTCACTAAGATTTTGCAGGGTCCAGCAGAGTCATCTGTACAGTTCCTGGACAGACTGAACCCACGCTCTCCCAGCAAGTCGATAATGATGAAGCCAGAGCTATTCTGTTGCGGCAGCTTGTTTTCACAAATGTGAAGATTGTAGAAAAGCATTGCTCGCTGTTCGTAACCCACATGCTTGTGACATAGCAGATATGGTTAGAGCATGCCAAAATGTGGGAACTACTGCTTACAATCCTAAATCTCTGGCAGCAGCTTTGGCCATGCACTTCCGGGTTTCAGACATGCGGGTGGGGGGTGTTTTAAATGCGGTTCAATGGGTCATTTTAAAAAGGACTGCCCTACAACAAAGGGACGGGATAAAAATACCACCTAGAGATTGTCCCCAGTGTGGAAGAGGGAAGCATTGAGCTGCTGACTGCCGCTCCTGGTACCCTGTAAAAGGGAAGGCTACACAGCTGGGAAACTTCCGGCAGGGGGCAGGTCAAAAAAATAAAAAAAAAAGAGAAGCAAAAGAGAATAAAAAAAAAAAGCAAGGCACAACATTTGGCAAGAGAGCTCTTGCCTGCAACCGCAGGCAGTGTGGGGCTGGACCTTGCCTCTGGAGAATCAATAACTCTTATGACATCTTCATTGCACTTAGTTCCTACTGGAGTGTGGAGATCCCTTGGTAATAACATCCATGCTTTGCTAATAGGGCATTCCTCTGCCACTAATTTGGGACTTTGTGTGCTACCTGGAGCTATTGATTTGGATTCTGAAGGCGAAATACAAATTATGCTATGGACTCATGTGTCACTCTGCTTTATACCTGCAGGTCAACGTATAGCACAGCTTATTCCCTTTTCCAACAAAACCCCTAGTGGCAAGGGTAAACGTGGCACAAATAACTTCAGCAGCATGGTCAGCCACAGGTTTTCTGAACAAGCTCTATTACAACAGCTCAGCCAACCTTAACATGAAGCATAGATGGAAAAAAATCTAAAGTGTTTGTTGGTACTGGAGCTGATGCCTCTATAATGAAAAGCAATGAAAGGCCAAGTAACTGGCCCACAATCAGCCCCACAGGAACCCTAATTGGAGTGGAAGGAATGCAACACCCTAGACAAAGTGCTCACCTTCGGCTTGTCCTTGGCTCTGATGGGCAAGTGATGCCTGGACTACCCCACTCATTGCCTCTATACCATGCACATTATGGATGAGATGTTCTGGGACAATTTGGAACAACCATACAAATAGGCTCAGCCGCACCAGAAAACATTTTTCATAGGGTCCATTGATCAGCCATTCCAAAATCAAATACTGGACAAATGTAAACTCACATGGTGGACTGAAGACCCTGTGGGTCAACCAATGGCCCCTATGAAAGGAATGGCTACTAAATTTAAAGCAGCTTGTGGAAGAGCAATTGTCCTTAGGCCATATCTGTCCATCTTCTAGCCCCTGGAACACTCCTATATTCTGTATAAATATGCAAAATGGCAAGTGGCGATTATTGCAGGAATTACGGGCAGTAAATGCAGTTATTGAACCTATGGGTGCTCTGCAACCTGGGCTTCCATCACCCACAATGATTCCCCTCAATTGGCCCTTAGTAATTTTAGATCTAAAGGACTGTTTTTTCACCATCCCTTTACACCTTAGAGCAAGTTCGTATCTTCTTGCAGCAATGGGGTGTGTCCCACAAAATGGGCACTCTCCACTCTCCCACAGGACAAGCTATTGTTGAGTGTGCCATAGAACCCTAAAAACCATGCTTGAAAAACAAAAAGAGGGGGAGTTGCGGTCCTCTCATAACAGACTAGCTAAAGCTTTATATGTCCTCAGTTTTTTAAATCAGGATGAGATGGGACAAACTGCGTGAGAGACAGCATTCCTTCAACACAAAGGCCCATCTAAGACCTCAAGTAATGGTATAGGACTTACTAACTGGACAATGGAAAGGACCCCTGGACTTATTAACATGGGGGAGAGCTATGCCTGTGTCTCCACAGGTCACCATGTGGAGCGGGTTCCATCATGGTGTGTGCGACCTTTTGTCACACCCTTCCGATTCTGTGTGTATACACTTGCTATGTTATAAGCATATGTTACAGTTTTTGAAAAGCTGCTATGGCTATTATTGTTGTTATTATTAATGTCTTAGGAGTTGTTTACATTTTTCCTGGTAGGTTTTCGTTGCATAATTAAAAAAGGGGGGGGAGGAGATGTGGGATATGAGGTTACAATTGTTTAAGTGGTTAAGGCTTATGCTCACCAGAAGGCCCTGTGGGGAGGCACAGCTGCAGGCTGGACAGCTGGAAGTGGCTGAGGGGCGAGAGGTAGCTATCAGTGAGGAGTCAGTTGACTGACAGCTGGGAGTGAGATTGTGATTGGCTGGAGGGAAACATGGATCCCATACAAGCAGGAAGCTGATTGGCTGGAGTAATGCACGGACAGTGTATGAGAGGGAACCTGATTGGATGGAGGAACACGTGGCCAGCAGTCCTGCAGCTGAGCCAGCCAATGGGTGCCCTTCTTCTGTTAAATTCTGTTAGGCCTAGGTTTGATTTCAGCTATGTTGGGTGGAGATTAAAGGTATAAAAGGGGCTGATTTCTGCAATAAAGGGATCTCCTTCAGATGCATAGGGGGGTCCGTGTCGCTTTGTTCCCCATAGTTACAAATCTCTAAATGCCATCTCATCATTGTCTCAATTGTTTAAGGTCCTTGTAATATGCCACCTACATTAGCATTTTGTGCCTTATGATAAAAGTATAGTTGGGAAGTATCTATTGATTTGTTTAGAATCTCCTACACAGCCTAAACCTAAGCAGATCACTCTCAGCTTAATGACCAGAAAATGTCCCAGACTCCTGTCCATGCTCCTATGCACATTTACTTACCAGGAAGACAGAAACAGTTGCCTTCAGTGATCTCATTAATTAGATTTTAGGCAAAAATCAAGTTACTGTGGTACCTTGGCAAGCTCTGCATATCATCGGAGCCATCACATGTGTTCTCTCCTTGTAGGAGGAACTGAAAAAAGAATGGGTTGGCCTGAATTTGAAGTGTATTTGTGGGTTTCCCAATGGTCTGGTTAGCGTGTCTGAAAAGGCACTGATCTTCCCCTAATCTACAGCAATTGGCTGTCCTTGCTCTGTCTCTCAGCTGTATTGAGGCTCATCTAAAAAACAGAGATTCTATGTTCCTCCAGGCTCTGCCACCCAGCTGCCACCTGGATCCTCATCTAAAACCAAAATTTTTCCAGGCTTCTCATTGACCCTGGCAGAGAACACCCCAGCAGTCTCCTGGCTCCTAATTTTAATATGCTGGAGAAATTAACCCCTTTCCTAAGTATTAACAACAATAAATTAAAACTTCTTGGTCACACCATCAAATTTAAGAGGCACATTGGCCAAAGTGACAGATGATAGCAATCTATTCGAACAGCTACCTAAACAAGACTGCTGAGCGCATCTCTATCCTCCTCTCTATGAGACATTGGGATTAATATTTTACATAACACTTGGCAGGGAATCAAAAACTGAGAACGTGTTCTCCTTAACTCTACCAGCTGCTAGAAGCCCCTTGACAACTCTGTAACAGCCCTTTATCTGTGTAAAGCATCCAACAGCCTCTCTCAGAACAAGAGGTGTTTCACTGATATATCAACCTGAGCAGGCTTTCATGCTGCCACTTTGTACCACTGTCACTGTTTAATTTAGAAGCCTTCGTCTTTAAAAGTTTTAGGATATGTCTGGAAACAGAACTACAGCCATTTTTCCTGCCATCCTGAGCTGGTCCTGCTCCATTGGAGCTAAGGGGTATCAGCAGGCTGGCAGCAGCTGGGGGAAGAGGACTCAGCTTGTGGCTGCCCCATGTAGGTTCTGTCATTAAAGCCCATCTCCCACCTCACAGAGAGATGCAGGAAGGGTGATTTCTACACACCACCTCAGCAGTGACTCTTCTCTCTCTTTACATTCTAGTGTTGATTACAAAACAGAACCATGGAAGAGTTGGAACAAACATTACTGTGCAGGCATGCAGGCCGCAGCTGGATTGAAAATTAATTTAGGGCTTAAATTCCCTGTATTTAGTCTGGAGATCCTTCCCTGGGCTTTGAATCCAGGGTCCAGTGCAGGAGGACCTCAAAGGGGTGACCAGGTTTGGAGTAAAGTGCAACCCATGCAGTCCCTCACACTGCATGTAGGCACTGGAACCTTCAGCTCTCCTTTAGTGGGAACATGATGGCTGTTATTGTGAATATATCCCTTGGAAGTACACTTCCAAACCAAAATGACTCCTTTTAAATATGTAGCTATGTGCTCTCATCATCCACAACAGAAGCCCTGCCTTGGTAAGACTGAGCAGGTTGAAAACATTTCAGATTCACAGCGACGATGCTGGGGAGAGCAGCCACCCCAAACCAGGTCTCTCTGAGCCTGGAGCAGACACCCATTCTCCAGACATGTTGCCTAATAATATTATCTCTCATGGGCTGTGGTGCCTCCCTAAAATCCACTTGAATTAATTTTTTCCTGAAACAGCTCATCTAAAGGGATGCCAGATGATGTCAGAGATGCAGCCTGAACATTTGTCCACGCTGTGTGTGCTATTGCATCGAACATTTTTTCTGGGAAGAGACATCCACTCTGGTTCTGTCATCATCTATGCAAGGTGTCCAGCACACCTACAGGGTGTATTTTCATGGACTAGAGCAACTTTGAAGGAATAAATTGGAGTGCCTCAAGCCAGCGTAAAGGCTAAGCATATGGCAGGCAGCAAGCAGGATGCTTTACCATGGAACAAGTTTGTGGAAATCAGTGATTTCAAGATAGGAAAGAGAGGGCAGGGAAATGTTTTTACCTCTGGGACCCAATTGGAGCTCCCTGTAGATGTCTCTTGGCATTAACAAATACTTCCCTTCTTTTCTCTCACAGTGGTCATAATTGCATTCTTTACTCCTCCTTTTTCCCATGTGAAAATGTTCCTTAAAATGAGACTCAATTCTCCATGGAAATACTGAAAATACAGGTGCCAGAAAATGAGATCCTTTCGTTAGCAGTCAGTGTAGCCTTCGTACAAAATCGACTTTCATAGTTACTTTACCCCATGTAATTACACAGCAAAGCCCTGTTTAACATCTCACTACATAATGGAAACTTTATATTTCAAATCACATTAATGTTAAGAGTTACTCAGACATTTCAAGAGGTAATAGCTGTAATTAAGGTGTTTCTAGTGATGGGCTCCTATTGTAACGTGGCAGAAGATTCTCTGATAGTCTTGCTGACTGCATTAGTCACAATTGTTTTCATTAATATTGACACTACTCTCTTACCAGACAAACAGAAAAGGAGATTAATCAAAATACTGTGCTGGTTTCCTATGCTCTGAACCCCTCTTTTGGACTGGTGCTCAATTCTTAGCTTTCAGTTGGAATAAAGAGCAGGTTTTGTAAGATGTGCAGCTTCACACCTGTTATTTAAAGCAAAATTGTAAGAACAAAGAGAGATAATTTTTTTTTTAAAATCTGAAAAAAAAGCACTGATGAAATTTAAATGCTACAATTCCTAATCATCTCATTTGTTTCCAGTTTGTGTGTCAGTGATGTGAGATTGCTGGAATGTGTTCAGACTGGGGAATGAGGTGAGCATGTATACGTGGGTTCATTATCTTGAGGAAAAAGTTGCACAGACCAAGGCACAAATGGCCCGTGAGTCATTTGGGGTTGTGAGGCTGACTCAGAAAAATGGGGGCCTCCAGTGACAAGTCCCTGTGATGATGGTTTTGTGATGGCAAAGAGTGTGTTGAGTTTCAAAATGATGGAGCAAAAGAGACCTGCATTTCCAGCAGAACCAATTAAGTTAAACAAAGGATGGATTTGACTTTAGAAGCCCTATAAATGTTAATTTTTTATGAGTATCAGTTCTACAGAGCCAGTTGAAACTGTCAGAGTCAGCTTCTCCTGAATGAAGGTGTCATGTCAAGACATCCAGATAAAAGTTATGCCAAGTACCAAAAATGAGAAGGGCCAAGACAAGCAGGGAGCATGACAGGACTGCAGGGCATGATCTCATACAACTCACAGTGAAAAGAGAAACAAAGGAACAGCTTTGTTCTGAGGAAATTCACACATTGATTCCCAGATCCAGCAGTTTGCCAGTTAAACAAGCAAAGGAAGAAAACCATAAAAATGCACATTTGGGAGCACCGTGCACACTAACCACAGTGTAGTGTAGTGACACCTGTGGCTGCTAAATGTGCTTTGGAAATTCATCTATGAAATATGATGAGTCAGTTAAAAGTTTATTTCAGTAGATTTGAATACTATGAAGAGATAGAAAACTGTGAATCCCTTAACCCCAGTTTTCTAAAGAAAAACATGAAAATACTAAGGGAAAACTGTATTTGTAAAGATTTTTTTCACTTTCTGCTTTCAAATACGTGTCATCATGACGCAGCCTCCTAAAAAGTGAGCGATAACCATCAAAATTGTAGCTGTTTCCATATATCTAATGCTAAACGAGTATTTTTGTGTAACTCTTCAAGTATGAAGTATTTTGTGTTTTGTACATAGGAATACGTAGAAGTACCCTTCAAATTTGCAAAATGGAAGACAGCTATACTTTATCAGATGCATTGATGCATTGCTCAGCTTTATATCCACAGGAACAGAAAAAGTTGGTATTACCAGAGTCTGAGACCAAAGGACCTGGTAGATCATTTATTATTGAAGTGAGAATAATAATTAAAAAAACAAAACCAAAAAAAAGGCTCTGTAAGGAACAGGTCTTCTCTGCAAGAAGTCTCAAGATGCCTGTTTCCTGCTTTAATGTTGACTTTCAGAGGCTACAAGTTTATAAAATGATGTCTCACTAGTGACTGACCTGCTGACCTTTGTAATGTGGGCTCAAATTCCTTTGCACCTGACATTTTGTTTTGCTTAGAAGGGATCTGCAGCTCACTGAGGCTGTAGTCCCGCTGGGATCTTATGGTCCTTACAAGGCAGCATGCATGTCTGTTTTCCTGCTCTCTGGTTTCTGGCCAGGACACAATAAAAAAACACAAACCCTTGTGGGAATGGAAAACTAGCTAACTAAAAAAATCATAAAACCTCATTCTCTAAGTTCTATATATAACCTTTTAATCCATGATTACAAATTACTTCTTGCTAATGTTTTGTAAAATGCTCTTTTAAACTCAGTTACTGGAGGTTATGCACTCACTTATTAAAAGCTGGTAAAACTAGTTGTGTGAAGTCTCTGTCAAAATCAGTACTTAAAAAAATAAATCCCAGACTTGTACAAGAGGCAAGACATCTCAAATTCAGTACTGCTCAGTGTCTGTTGAATAAAAACTATCAGCTGTAGAGGATGTGAAAAGCATAAGGTTTCAATAAAGAGGAAGTGGCTTACAATTCTTGAAATGAGATAATAATTATAATAATTTATAATTCTCTTGAAATGAGAGCTGTGGTTGTATTAATTTAAAAGTTAATTTTCCCTTTAGGTTAAGAGTTTCTGTAGTTTTGGTGAGGCAGGACAGGATGTGCTTCAATTTATACTTCAATGAATAAGAAAAAATTCCACTGATATGAGTAGGATTAAACAGAGGGGAAGCAGAAAACAGACCTGCCATCACTGGGAAATACAAAGAGCAAAAAGACCCAGCATCTGTGTGTGGAAATAAATCAAAGGGGATGGTACAGAAATAGCTCCCATGTCCATAGGAATAAAAACTGTAGTTTAAGAAAATAATAATAGCAATTAGAATGATATAAAGACTGAAAGAAGAGAGAGAAACAGAAGAATATACTTAAAGGCATAACTCTTTATGCTGGTCAGTCACATCCTACATTCTTTTTGAGGTACAATAAAACAATAGTTGTTGTACCCTGCTAAATTTGTTACAAGTTGTTCAAAGATGGTGATAAAGCATTTCTGATAAACAGCAGTGTGGGGGATTTCTCTGCCGGTGGTCCTGCACTCCTGACCACAGCTCTTTCCTTAGAGGGGAGAGCATCCATGGGTAACCCTGCTGGCTTGAGGAGTTAAAGCTAAGGCCTGATTCCTTGTTTACCTTTTTTTTGAACCATTGTAAAGCTCTGTTATTGTGGTTGTGATTTGTGTTGCTGCCAGGGTGATAAAAAGCAGTTTCAGAATTTAAAGCCCTAGCTCCGTGCTGGGGTTAAACAAGCACTTAGCACTTGTTTGGTCTGTGAGATTATCATCAATGAAAATGAGCATAAACTGAGTATGCTCTTAAGAGCTTTATGTAATCCATGTTTACATCTCTATTCATGTTGACTGAAGGCAATTTCTGATTAATTTTTACAAAACTGAGTATAACAGGAATGTTTCATTTTGCTTCCTGGAAAACATAAGCAGAAGGACCCTAGTAGTGTCAAGTGTGGGTCTGTCATGTAGGAGAAAGAAATTGTGAAATGTGAGGAATTTTTGCCATCAACCAGTCCTCTACAATCTTCTCTTGGGAAATGAAGAAAGAATTATACGGGGATGACAGTGTAGGCATGACACTTTCTGAATATTCAGTCAAAGCCTTTGGAATAGGGAAATATGTGTCGCAAATGATGCTGTTGCCGTTGGGCTCAGGGACTATACTCATGGTCCAAGAGTGGTAGGAAGCTTTAAGTTCAAAAAGGGTTACAAGTATCTATCAACTCTAACAGATTTGAAAAAAAAACCAAGCACAAGAGTTTTCTCTCATCAGGCTTCTGTCCTTCCAGTTTTCCATTTTACTGAAACCTTGTAGGTTATTTCAGTTTGGATCAGAAGAGAAGTGTCCTTCAGGAGTGGTGTTACTATGTGGTTTCATCCTGAGGGTGACATGTGTAAGGGTGTCACACAAACTACATATGGTGTGTGTGGTTTCCACATGGGAAGGATATACTGTGTTTCATTGCAGATTTAAACCCCACAACTGATAGGCATTACAAAACCTCTTGCCATTTGATGCATGTTACATAAAAGGTTACTATGTACAGCCTGCCAGCCTGTGGCAGATGGCTTTCTGTACATAACACATAAACTTTGATGTGACTGAATTTCTATAATTGCCATTTTATTTCTGCACAAATACACTCTCCTCCATCCAATATTTTAAATGCACAAAGCACAATGTTCACCAAAGTAATGACTTCACACATATAAAGTGACCATCAGAAACACCTAGTAGCTGCACTCTGAGAGCACTGAGGGAATGTTTTTGAGGAGATGCTTGTTCCTATCCTAGGAGAATGGGCATAGCAGCGTTTCATGAGGGCAGAAGAACAACAACCTCTCTTCTGAGCAGCTCATCTGCTGGTGGACAGAGACATTGCTAAGGGGACCCACAAGAGGCACAGCAAGTGAACATCACGAAGGAGTTGGTGGAGTGAGGAGGCCCCTGTGCACATCCCACTCTTCAGCCTGGGAGCATGGTGCCTCAGCTCCCCACCACAGCAGCAGAGGACACACTTCTATGAGGAGCAGCAGGCAAATCTTTCAAGGAAAACACAGCCACAAGCACTTTCCCAGCTAAGGGTTAATTTTCAGCCCGAGACACAAAGCTAGTTCAGATTTCTGAATTTTCCCATCCTTGTTCACATCGCAGTGGTTGAGCAGGATCTGGCGGAACTTGTCCAGGTCCACCCCGCTAATGCTGGGCTGCAGACAAAGAGAAAAAGAATGCTGAGAGAAAAATGGCTCTTGATTTCCCCAGCTTGTAAAGCAGCCCACCATGTAGCAACTGAGAAATCCCCCCAAAGAAGAACGACCAAAAGGCCCCACATCATCTCAAATGCTGTGGGGAAGCAAACAGAAGATGGGGAAAGAGTGCCCTGCAAAAGCAGAAGGTGCATGGAACTGTAAGTGATTATATAGAAATGCACCATGACTTTTGTGCTCAGTCAACGCCATCAATATCTGATCCATATAAAAGAAAACTTTGGTAAGTTATGCAATGCAGATCCCTGCTCTACCAGACCTGTGCTTTCATCTGGTTTCCTCTCTGAAACCTGCTGTGCAAGGACTAATGTGACATTTCTGTCAGCATACTGCTATTTTACAGGCTAGTCAGCAATGTAAAAATACCTTTCAGTGGATCAAGTTCATGTTGAAGACACATTTCACAGGCCACACAGTCTGTATGCTTCTAATGCTATACTGCCTGTTCTGCTTCCCACATTCTCAGGAGGGGATCAAATTCACATGCACAGCTTGTGGTGCCCAAGGGCAATACTGATGAAGTCCCTTAGGTAAAGTACAAATTTCCCTCCTTTACACTCACACATGGCGCAAATCCAGCTTCCTGCCCATCCCCACACCCTGCCCTCTACACTACATGGCCAGAACACGTGCACACAGCCATCAGCACACAGCTGCCATTCTCTGCTCTCTCCTGAAGGGACATGGCAGCACAGATATTTCACACTGTGTGGAAATGCAACAGCTCAGGCTCAAAGGAAGCTAAAGATCAGACTCTGTTTGGGTCAAAAGGTCTATCTTGGACTGCATCTGGAAATTCAAGATAATCCAATGAAGACAGACTCTTCTGTCCATCAGGAGCTGAAGAGACACACCAGGTACAATATTCTTGATTATATATAGACCTCAAGTAATTTTCAATAGTAGTCCTGAGATGAACTAATGAACCATGAGTTCATTCTGGTAAGAACCACATCCACAATGAAAACATAAGGAAGAAACTGTGATGACCCATCCTTATGATGCCTTTGAATTAGGCAGATGTTACATCCATATCATGTCATGCTGTAACATCTGCCTAATTCAAAGTATGAACTAGAATGGACCTTTTAAAAACAGAGTTGCTGAGGGAAGCTGTATTCATTTGTGAGGCAGAATTTCTGTGATACGGTGAAATGCTCTACCGTGTATATACTGAGATGGTGAATTCCCTTCTGCTGATGATCAAACTAAAATTTGACTCCATGTTCTTACTAGTGCCTCTGTGTACATTTCTGAAAGCACTGACCTTAAAGAAATACAGAGTACTAACAAACAGAGCCATGAAGATACCTTGACCAGTTCCATCATGTCTTTGACAAACCCATCCACTTCTGGGCCTTCAAGCGCTCCTGTTTTACTCTGAAAGAAGGAATAAACATCAAAACTCCCCAGTGAATCAAAAGTGCTGCAGCATTTACTGGTCACCAAACTTTGTGGCATAAAGTTTACAGAATCATGAAATGTTTTGGGTTGGAAGGAACATTAAAGATCATCCAATTCCAACCATTCCACCATGGCCAAGAACACCTTCCACTAGCTAAAGTTGCTCAAAGCCCCATCCAACCTGGCTTTGGACACTTCCAGGTTTGGGAAATCCACAGCTTCTCTGGGCAAACCTGTTGCAGTGCTTCACTACCCTCACAATAAAGAATTTCTTCCTAATATCTAGTATCTAAGATCCCTTTGTTTTTCACAAACCATCTCTTCCCACCAAATGGAGCAATATCTCCCACCACCCTGAGGGAGTTGTGTGACTGTCAGAAGTATCACTGAATTTCTGATGTCTAACAGGCAGTTAAATGGTTGTGCCTGTCCTGAGCCAGACTCCCTAAACAACCATGGGTTTGATATCAGAATGGGGTTTATTTTTCAGCATGGTGGTGATGCAGGTCCTGAACTGCCAGAGACTCTGAGCACTAAGGCCACCACCTCCTCTGCCTCCTTTGCATCTTCTGCAGGAAAACTGTTAATGCAGCAGCACTGGCCATGGCAATGGAGAAAGTTGAAATGGGTCCTTGACACAAGATCTCTGAGCATTGCTTCTCTCTGCCCCTACTTCACCCCTCCCAGTCTGGCATCTGGGCTCATGGGCCATGAGCTTGGGCACAGCTGCCACTCCTCAGTGACTCCAGCAGCACCCAGCAGGAGGAAGAAGTCTCAGCACAGCAGCACATGCTAAATCTGTCATTTACAAACCACAAGGCAATGAACTAATTCATGGGACTCACAACGTCGTAGTGTGCAAAGATCTTCTCAAAATCTCTCCTCCTTTCTTCTGTGCTACAAGCCTGTGTACAGAAAGGATGAACAAATGGAAAATTCAAGCAAAAATTTTAAGTTTGGGCCCAGGTCATCTTAGCTGAGACAGGATCAGTGTATCAAAAATTAGTGCTACTTACATCCATCTTAAATTGTAGAAGGAAATTTTCCTGAAGTGCCAGAATCCTGAATGGAGACATTTAAATTAGGATCTTTTCACCTTATCATCTGCACACGAACTACTCTGTGCTCTCCTTGTTTGCAAAGCAAAGGGATGTTAGATTAAAGGCCTATAAAAGAGAATATTGCCTGTGGGGTTATTTACAGAGGGCTGTTGTGGGAACACAAGCCTTCCTCCCTGTCTGATGGCCACCGAGGGTGCCCTTTGGTTCACCACAGACATGCCTATTAGTACCATTGCTTCTCCCAGAGCATTTCTGGTGGTCCTGCAGAACAGAGGGTGTCAGCTTCCAAAGCAAGAGCTACCAGACAATTATTCCTTGTAACTGGATTGCTGTGCTGCATTAAAGAAAGTGATTTATAGCTCTCTCTCGGAGGGAGACTTAGTGGTTGTAAAAGTAATACTGGCCTGTGTACCAAGACTGGCAGAATTCCTCTCTTTTCATCTCCTAAAGCCTGTCAAGACTGATAAACCCTTTTTTCTCTCTAACTGCTTTACTAACCCTGAGGTTTTTAAAGCCCATGGCACAGGGCATGCTAAGCAGTGTCTGCACATGGAGGGATTTGGAGTCTGAGAAATATTCTCAGACCACAGGAAAGCCTCAGATGTCATGATTCCCAAAATGGAATTGTTTTTAAGAGAAAATTGTAACAGCAACTCCCTTTAGATATTCTCCATCCTGCCTCAGATTCTCTTCATATATTTCATGGTCAAAGGGAACTGCTGTATGCACTGCAGTTATTTGTGCTGGCATTTGTCAGGAACCAAAGCAGAGTAACAGTGGCAAACCATCATCTCTGTCCCCTCATCCTCTAAAATAAAGTCTTTTAAGACTCTATCTGCAAATTTAGTCCTTTCCAACCAATGCAGATAGTTTTACGGAGAGAGGCATACTCTCTAGGTAGTGAAAATCATCTAAAAGCCTCTGAGGTATCAAGAAAAGAGACAGGCCCATGAATGAGTACCCAGTTTCATTCACAAGCATCTCACCTTGGCTCTCCAAATTCTTTCCTACTGCCACTGCCAAACTTTTTTGTGGTGGGACTTTCATTATTCAAAATGCATTAAAAATTCTTTGCAATCCCTGCTGCACATAATGATGAAAAAATAAATGCATGTCTGTGACCCTATTGAAAGGATTGACATCCTTTTTTTTGGAGAAAGAGAGCCACTGGTTGCTTTGCCACCTCCTGGGAAGCACCTCAGATTATGCCAGAGCACACTGATGTTATACAGACAGATCCTGGCATTGCTTGTATCGCTGGCTCTAGATTCTCAAATTATTGCAATGGGGACCATGTGTTGGAGAGGTGGGATCAGAGCAGATCTAATTTAAAAGGAGGTAGAACTCAACTGCACGTCCCCAGAGGGAGAGCATCACCTTGCGTGGATCTACCATTGTGAGCTGAAACACCCCATCAACATTATTAAATCCTACCTTGCCAGGTCATTCAGGTCCAGTCGCCCATCTTTGTTTCTGTCAAAGATTTTCATCTATAAATCAGGACGACAAGAGACAAAATAGATAGGCCACGAAGAGAACACAGATACAAAAAAAAAGCCAATATACATTTTACTCTGCCCTGTGCCCTTCCCTCTGCTTGCTCAGGGTGCTTGCCCAAACCCTGGGCAGCGTGGCATCCTGTGCTAACACCAGGTGTAAGGGTGGCAACAGCAAAACCCACCAGCTTTCTGACAGCAACAACCCAAAGCAATCAAATGACAGTACCACTCCCTTCGCACCTTACACTGGGATAAAGCAGGTCTGCAGAAAAGACCTTCAGAAATTAAATACTGACATTGCCTTGGCCCTGAAAAAGGGGAAAATTTCTAAACACTTCCACCTGAGCTCTTACCTTACCTTTCACTGTTGCTGTGGCTTCTGAGCAGCTGAGGTGCAAATGCCACCTTCTAATTAACACTCAGGTCAGGATTTTGCACCACTAAAGCTGTGGGGCTTGCTTGGCTCAAGGCCTGCTGCTAGAATGCATTAAGACTCGGAAGAAGGTTCATGTTGCCAACATCAAGAGGTTAAATGTGAATTCAAAATTTATCCTTTTCTTTTCCTGAATAGCATCATTTTGATGAGCCATCACACACAAAAAAAAGTATTATTTCTTTATTTGTTGTATTTGGTTCTGCGTTTCTCTCCAAGGCACAAAACAAAGTCTGCTGCAAAGAAGGGGGTGGAGGGGATGTTTAATGAGTTGCAAACATGACTAACTCATGGCTCAAAGTTCTAGAAAAAAATACATTCCACCTTGTGTTGGGGGAAGATGAATATTTTACTATGAAAGACTACCTTTTTTTGTCAAGTACTCAGTTAAGGAATATGCATTAATCTTACCTTGATAGATCACATTTGCTTGTTTAGTGGTTGTGCAGAGTAATTGGTTCACTACAGATCTTTTGGGTATTGCACACATTACAATTTTGGGTATTCCAGTAGAAGGCCTGGACCAGTCCCTATCTGGCAAAGCTCAGAGGGACAGGATTATCCCCTATGATATAGCCTAAACGTGTGGGAGCCAGCAGCATGTCCTGAGCACTTCTCAGCAGTGGAGCCAGGGCAGAGCCTAATAATCATGTGAGAAAAGGTAGCATCTGGAGAGCTGCCATTTCTCAGGGAAAATTTTCCTGTTTTGTCAGTGCTGCCTCTTCCCTGCTCATTGCTCAAGGGGAGCAAGGACAGCAAGTCCATTGTAACCCTTTGTTGTACCACCTTTAGACTGAGATTCTGCAGCAGACTCTATACCATTAATTATTCTTAGTATTTTACATTTGTGAGGTTTGGGTGGAATTTTTGAAGAGGCATTTGGTAGGGGCTCACTTTTTCTCCCACTGAAAGACAGCATGAAAGTCCTATGAATGATTGAAGGCCCATATTGAGATATTTGGAAAAATGGCATCATGAGAGCCATGTGGGTGTTCAGTGGCACAAAGAAAGCTATTTTCCCATTTAACTGACCTCTGCCAAATGTGCTCTCTTGCTCTCTGCAAAATCACAGAGGAAAGACTTCTGAATCTTCCTTCTCTCTAGAGCTGGGGAGACAAATAAAGCTGCCAGGCCATCCTGAAGACTTCCCTTTGGTTGCATCAGTCCAAGTTGTTCCCTTCCAGCTGATCTAACTTCTTGCATGCTGCTTCCTGCCCCATTAGATCTCCCACAGCAATAGGGCACTTCTCCCTGGTCTCTGCTGGAGCAGCAGTGGGACAAGGCTAGAGAAAGGGATGGGAGCAGAAGCTGCCTTTGCTGGTGAAAAGGTGAATTTCTCTCAAGTGGAGAAATGTCCTTGCAATGACAGCCTCCCACTGCCTTCAGAGAGATAAACCTGAGGCTTCAGTTCCTGGCTGATAAAGGAGTTATTCTGCAAGTCACAGAAAATGACTGATGTTCTTTCTAGACATAAATAAGCCCAAATATTTTAAAAGCCTCTCTCCAAATGGAACGTCAGTGCCTAACCTGGTTTTGTCTGCTGTTTGAGGAGAGGGAGAAATACCACTACTACTTCACTTTCATACACTCTCCACCACAGGTGACTTGGCTACATCCAGCTTACATCATTGTTCTAAAACATGCTGCCTAAAAGAAGCTTATGGAGACAACCCCTGTGTAGATGGCTAGAGAAAGTACCAGCATGTGGGTAGTGGGAATACCACAGTCCTTAGGCTCTACAGTAACTTCAGTGCTTTTGAAAATGTCACTCTAAATCTCTTGGTTTAGGCCACCAAGGAGCATTAGTTACCCACATGGTCTGTAAGAATTCACCTCAAAGCAGTGCAGCTGCTGGGGTGAGACAGCATTTGCTGGGAAAGGACAGCTTTTGGTGGGAAACACAGGGCCCAGGTCTCAGGAACTCTGCTGACAGGTCAGGGCAGCTCTGGCTGAAGGCACTGGTCTTTGGTTCATACAAAAATACAGTATCCTTATCAAAACACACTAAAATGTACTGCCTTTAGCAGTCTTTGTACTTCACTTCTTCTACACGTTTCTGAGCTCCTGAAAGTGTGTTTTATTTTCTCTAATTTCTGCTGCATTTCAGAATTACTGTCTTGAGACTAAAATTCAGTGCTTCAGCCTAGACTTCAAGTTCAGATGTATTTTTCTCTCTGTGATGCCTCAGAAAAGCAAACACTGAGTTTCTGGGAGAAGTTCAACTCTGTGATCACAATATCCTGATCTCCATACAAGCTTCTGGGACCAGGACAGAACTGGTGGCTTCCTGTCCAAGAACAGACTTGGGGCACAATTTTCATTTCACATAGGCTTGTCTGGGACAAGTCTCATGTTCATTTTCCAGTGAAACATCTCCAGCCTCATGTCCTTTTCCAAGGAATAAATAAAGCATCCCAGCATGGCTGTCCTTGCCTTGGAATTTCATGTGTCCTGTCTGCCCTGCATCTGCTCTACTTTGTGGGTGCAGCATATTTTCATGGTTTCAGAAGATGCAAATAAGCAGGAGGCTGTAGAGTTTTCTGCACTCTTAATGAAACAGACTAGATTAGAGATGGTGGCTTAGATGTGAAAGGCTTTCTGCTTCATTATCAATTTTGTGAGCATTTGATTTCAAATCCTACCTGTTTCTGAACCCTTTACTATATTCCTGTGGCAGGGCAGATCCCATTAAAACACATTTAAATGAGAGGTAATAAACTCCTTGGTGGATTGCTTAACGGAAGGAAACATTCTTCTCTAGAACACTATCTTTCAGCTTGATATTAAACTTCCAGTGAGTGACCATGTCTACTTATAGATAACCAGTTCCCCTCCCTGACCTCCTTCACTCAGCTCCGTAAGAGATAACCTTTGTGTTTTCTATTTGTTTGGCCTTTTTCTGCCACAACTTCTCTGAATACAATTTTCAAACAAATGCAGTATTTTGATCATCCATACCAGTCAACAAAAAGAAAAAAAGTCGAGCTGGAAGAGCTAGGCCAAACTAACTCTTGCCCAGTGGCTAACGCATGAAAGATGGAAAACATGTAGGGAAGGAAGGCTAGTGTTCACTGAATTAGTTCAGGTACCACAGCTAATAAGATAGACCTAATCCTGTTATCAGGACAAGTGGAGCTCATGCATACCCACTACATGGCTGCATTACTCGAGGAACAGCCTGGGGAAATGTTTTTTAATTAAACTTTCAAGTTTCAAGCATATGAGTGCTTGATCTGATCAGCTAATTGTGTGCATGAGTACACAAGGAATGACAGAGGGTACCCACCCTATATGACAAAGCATACATCATGGGAGAAGCAGATAATTGAAATGGTTATGAGGTTGTTTCTAATTTAAACTTTTGCCTTCACACCCCATCTTGATATGTTAAATTTGATGGATTTTCAGTTTACACTCTTGAAAGGTATATTTATGCTGCCAGGCTGATATGAAACATCTCAGTGTGGTTAAGGACAAGGTTTGGCATGTTTAAATAGCACTCAATTTTACTAAAAGCTCTGTTGCATCTAGCAGTATGCTTTATAAGATGATGCATTTCCTTTACTGACAAGTTACCCCATATTTTAAAGTGTTTGCACAAATTAATTCACTGACATTTTAATGGCAGTGCACCAAGGGCACACCCTCTGTTTGTTTGAATGTACTCTGAGGCACTCTGAGACAGACAGAGAATATATAAGAGCTTGGTTTGCAAATAAAAGTTGTTACGTTTCCATTTCTTTGAAGTGCAAAATCAAATCTGCCATCAGCTTTTAATTCAGCAAAGGAAATAGCTCTGCTTTCTCAGTCCTGTGTTGTAAAGGCCATTGAAACACCACAATATGACAAACACACATGTTTTTTGGAGAGCAATATACAACTATTTTCCATGACAGAGATAAGGAAAGAAGTAAACAAACCCAAAATAAATAGTTCTGTGATCAGAACTCAGACTCACTAAAACCTGCTTTTATACTTCTCTGGTTCTCTTTCTTTGTGTGTAATAAAGTGGGACACTGAGAGAGTCAGTTTTACTTGACCTCCTACTCTCACAGACATATTTTAATATAAATATCATGGGCATCTATGCCCAACAGCTGAAACTAATGTTGGCCATGGAGTAGAGAGGTTATTGAGGCTGTATAAAGGCTGGCATCAAGCCAAGCTGCAGGACTGCCTGTGGCCTCTTTCTTCAGAGAAAGATGGGGTCACAAAGGCATTTACAGAGTGGCAGGAGGGCCCAGTGGCCAGCAAGTTACCCTCAGTGTCCTGCTCAGCCAGACCACCTGTGTCACATAGACAAGTTCTTTAGCACAGGATTTCTAAGAGTGTTTTGATTCCTAAGAGACCAAGGCATTATCTGTTGAGGTGTTCAAAAGCCTGCAGGCTCCTGAGTTCTATGGGTTTTGATCTTCTGAAATTAAGTTTGAGCTTAAATGGGATTTTCTGCTTCCCTTGGCTTATGCCATAGCAAGTGTGGTGCAAAACTGGATGTGACAGTACCACTGGCATTAAATTGAGAAGGGACACAGGAGGAAGATTTGCGTTCATCAGCTGTGTGGGTCCTCTTAGGCACCTGGGAGAGAGGCCAGCATGGACCACTACCAGGAGAAGAGATAAGCAAAGACTGCACTTTAGGAACCAATCTTGTGTGCTATGCTCTACTCCCATGGTATTTCTAGAGCTTTGGGAAGTTTACTTGGTGTGTTCACAAACATAACAAATTCTGTTTAGGTGTTTTTTCAATACAATAAATATTTGTCTTTCCATTATTGCACCTTTATTTTGGTAGTCATAGGAGACTTTGTTAACAAAGATATGCAAGCTTGACTAGTAAGATGTTAAGGGTCTAAACCACCTGAATTTTCTGTGCTCTGGTTTTTATTTACCTGCATGAGTACATTGGCATCAGCACTGAGCAAAGATAGAATTTCACAGCCATGGAACTGATCACACTGAAACTCAGGCATTATCCTTGCAGAGGGGACAGGCAGCAGCTGCAAAAGCACCTAAAATCCCCCCAGTGTACAATAAAGGTAGTCCACAGTGCATAATGTGGACATAGATCATCCTCAGGGATCTTTCCCTTTGCACTGAGAAGATGAGGAGCCCTCAGCTGCAGGCTTGTGCACTCAGGGCGCATACCTCAGTGCCCAGGAGAATCTTCTCAAATAACTCCAGCAAAACCCTGGTGTCATTACAGCTGGGAAAAATATATATTCAGACTTCTCTGGGGTTAAGATTTCATCCTCAGTCATCACCATCTACAAGCTTTCAAATGCTGTAGTTCATGATGAATACTTGTTGAGTTATTAGTCACTGCACTTACATTATTGCCTCTCTAGAATATTAACCTGTGGTGGGCAAAGATGGCATGATGGCTGGACAAAAACTATCCTTTGCATTTTACTGGAATATAATAATGCTCAGATAAAAGGAATTTTTTATGCTCCATTTGACATTATCAACATAAGGCAATGAAAAAAGTGAATTTCAGTGTTGCATGTGTGACTGTTTCAGCAGAATAAACAACTTAAATTGCTGAAGTTTGATTCAGAAATGAGCTTGCCCTGCATGCAGCTTGAAGACATTGGGATTACAAACTAGAAGTAACATGCTGCTATCTGGGAAGCTGCAGACTATCAGAAACCATATCTTAAATCCAGTTCATATCCCAGCATTTACAATATTCTACTCAAGTGCACAGCTGTGTGCACACACAAGTAAGGGAATCTGTCACTCATAAAAATTGTCAAATTCATATGTGAGATGTGCATTCCTGAGCTGAAACTTCACCAGGATCCAGAAACCTAACAGCTTGACCTCAGAGGCTGAATGGAGGTGGGAAGGATTGAGAAAAGTTGTTCTACTGTCATCATCCACTGTGTCCTCATTGTGAAGCATCAACGGGGCTAGTCTTCATTTCTCCAGCTTGTGTTAATGCAGGAAGGCAGAAAATTCTCACCACGCTATTTAAACCCTCCAACCATTTTCAGCTATGTCTCTATCTATGTCACTCTCTCTCCCAAAGCACACACTGCAGGACCCCTGGGAGTTCTTCTCAGGAGGCTCAGAGCTATACCTGAGGGCTTCACTTCAACCTCCAAGCACTGGCTCCCTGCTAACAGGTCAGTGCTCTTGGTCAGTGCCCATGGGAAGGCAACCAACCTACAGATTACTGTTTTCAAAGACTCAGAACTGCAAGTGGGTGCATGTAAATAATTATTAATACAAACTTAATGGCTATTAATACAAATATGTATCCATGTAGGCATGGAAAAAAAACCTACAGTGCCTACAAAGGGACTACCTCAGCACAGCATCATCACTGAAAGTCCCTCATGAAGAGTCTTGAGAACTCAAATGTTCTTTTGTGATTTTCCCCATTGATTTTAGTGCTCTTTAAGATTTGATTTAGCAGACTCACAGAGTTTGTGCAATACCAATGTGTTCACTACCTGTTGTCTTTATAGGAGCTCATCATTTGTTCATCAAATCCCTGATCTATATCAGTGCTCTCTGAAGAAAGGACATCAAGGTCACAAGGAAACAGAATAGCCTCTTAAGAAGTGGCTGCTAAGCAACCTGATAAAGTGATGTTCATTTCCAGAGATGGCCAATCTCTTCCAAAAGTAATACTCTCTCCATCTTCTCAGCTTTTTTTTTTTTTTTTTTTTTTAATGTGGTATGAGATCATTCATAGCAGCCCAAGAGGCAAAAATTTAGCATGCCCAAGTTGGTTGATAAGATATCTGATCACACTGATCACAAATACCCAGCATAGAACCATAAAACGCTGCCTTTTTTTTTTTTTTCTTCCTCAAACCTGGGCTAGCTTCTTTAAAATTATAGTTTTTCCATTTTCCTCTTTATCTCCAGAAGGCCCTAGGGTCCACTCAGGCTATCAGTAGCTGCTTAAGATGTGTGCAGCCAGCTGTACATGTACAGAAAAAAGGGCAGAGATCTGGGTATTCCTGGGGAGACAGATGGGCTTACAGCTCCTTGGGACACAGCTTATTTCAACTGAATAATAATTACATTGGCCTTTGAAAGCCCTGAGCTGGGTGGATGGGCCACCCTGAGAGATACTGTGTGCAGCAGAAACAGGTCCTGGTCCCAAGGAATTTTTGCTCTGAAAAGATGAAAGGCTGGGAGCAAAGCAATAAGGGAGAGAAATATAAGTATGTCAAATCTTCAGAAAAAGAATCGCTGCCGCTGGTTGTCAAAGATATAACAGGAAGTCTGTTAGGAAAAGAATGGATGGGCCACTGACCTCTATCCTAAACAGTGGTGATGGTGGCAGAGTCCAGTGGCAGTGGGGCTCTGCACTCCAGCAGCTCCTTACTCCATGTGAGGAATGAGAGAGAAGAAGCAAAGGGTTGCCATTACCCTGGGCCTTGACATCAAACCTTTGAGTCACTTCTCCCTCTTTAATTCAGCCCTGCAAATGCAAGGCTGAATCTTTCTTCCCTCTTTGGAATTTTGCCTTCTTACTTCAGTTAACTTCCTGTACAATCATTTGTGGAGCGTATCTGATGCTATAGGATACTGCCCATGCAGATAATTTGATGTTACTTGTGGAATTCATATCCTCTATTTTATTCCCGGATATCATAGGATAAGATTATGCCTGTGGTAATTTCACTCCCTGCCTTAGCTTTGGGGACCAGGTGTGTTTATAAACATCCTTGATCTTCAGCTCTGAGAAAAGAATTGCAAAGAATAAAATAATAATCTACCATATTCTCATTTTCTAATAACCATTAACATCCCTGATTCTTTTGGCATTGCAGCTTGGCAAACCTTTGTCTTCAGGAGCCAGATTTGCATTTCAGATCATAGATTCCCCTAGATATACAAAGCATCCCTTTTCCCAGATCAAATCTTATCCTCTAACGTAGGGATTTTAAACTGCCTCTCTGGACATACAAAGCTCTTCAAGAAACCATGGGAGTAGCAACCAGACCTCCTGGCTCTCAGCTCTCAGCTGCATTGATCTACACAACCTAGCTGCTTTGGGTAGTGGAATCATAGATCTTTCTCATGAAATTAAAGGGAAGGGAAAGGAGCTGGAGGAAATGAACCACCCACTGTCTACAAGCTTCAGATCACCCATTCCCCAGCACCTGATCAGAGATTAAGCACAGGGGATGGAAACCTTAATGGAGCAGAATGAAAGGTATTTGCTACCAGCAAATGCTGCCATAAAGATTTTTGTCTCAGCTGTAACTTCTAGGCTTTTTTTGTTTTCAAATTCTGCCAGCTGGAAAATAATTTCTGCAGCTGGCATTCCTCTCTCTTCACTGTCTTTTAAATATGAAAAACAAAATATACACTCTTCTGTAACAGTACAGTTTCTCACATTGCTCTAAAGGGTCACATCTCTAGGCATACACACATCACACATACATAATATGGTATTGCAAAATATGTGGGCAGCTCCTTGTTTGCTTGCATACCAAGCTGTTTTTTAGGTACAAACACAGATTTTGTGCCAAGAAGCAAGGCAGTCCAATCTGAAAACCATTTAGAAAATTGCAGTGATAGATGTCTGCTAGTGGAATTCAAATTATACCCTTGAGAATGACATCCAGAAATGAGATTTTTTCCCTTCTTTTCTTGTTTTTAGATGTTTAGATATAAGAAGTTGCTCTGAAATCCAGGCGACTGATGCTAAACCCACACCAAATACTATGCTGTTGATTGCAGTATAAAAGCTATACTGTGATAAGCCAGGCAGAGAATTGAAACTTTCAACTTCTCAGTCTTTTAGGGAAGCAGCAGGGAGCCAGCAAGGCTTGCTGGGCTTTGCAGAGCAGACAAGCCAGATACCTGCATCTCTTGGGAGGAAAAGGATTTGCTAGGAGGAAGAGAGGAAAAGGAGGAAGTGAATGAGCTGGAGATCTGGCTGAGGCTGAACCTCCCCTGAAGAAGGATGCACCTCACCTTTTAAAGGGGAGTATTTAAAGGGGTTTAGAGCTCAGCCAGCTTTGGTGTAAAGCTGAGTTCTTTTCTCATAGGAAATAGTTCAACTTTAGCAAAACTACTTGAAATGCAGTTGATATCCAGTGCAAAGAACTGTTAACAGCAGTCTGCACTAACTCCCCCCAGGGATCTCTGACACACCTTTTACGAGGGCTTTGATGCAGACATTGACCCTAAAGGAGATTTTAGGCTGTACTCTGATCTAAACAACATTAATTCTATCTTTTCTTACCATAGTATCAGTATATTCTTCCAGCTTTACTTCAGCAACCATCTTGTTATGCTGCAAAAAGAGATCTCGCAGGAAATCCTGTAGTAAGAAAAGACGGAAATTTTACTCTCTAGAGTAAAGTCAAGAAATTACAGTAGGAAATTCAATTCAAATTCAGCAGGGTTACACAAATCTGGTTTCACATTCCTGGTTAGTATTAGTGTCTTTGGTTGGACAAAGCTCAATTTTTTTTAGCTGAAATATGTTTTTTGAATAAATTAGAAAGTAAATGAAATTCCTCAGAATAGGCATACTGGAGTGAATCCTAATAGACTGATGAAAGAAGCAAAAGACAACATAAGTCCTGCAATCCTTGCTAATTGATCTAAAATCAAAATATTTGTCATTCAGTACAACACTCAAGCCTCCTCTTACATCTTTGGTGGGACACAGGCTGAAGCCACACACTGAGACTTCAGCACATGATGTACAGCCTAGTGATAGACTTTTGTGATTGCCATCTCAAAGTATTTGAGTTATGGTTTCTGAACAGGCTCTTGCCTCAATAGCCTGAGCTTTAATGAGAAATCAGTGTTCAGAAAACCTGCAGGTTCAGGAAGAGATTGTGAAGAAATCCCCATAATAAAACACAGTGGCTTTTCCCTGTTTAGCTGGGAGAAGCACATATGCAAAGCCAAGGTGAGGCAGTGCTTGTGGGGCTCACTAGATGCCTCAGGTCACCAAGGCAACTGGGGTCATGGGACAAGGCTAGGGGGAAGCAAGACATCGAGGGCAACAGCAAACCATCCTCCCTTCTGCAGGGCCCCTGAGACCATGCCAGAAGGCACTTAAACTCTCTATGAACAACCCAGAAATACCATTTGTCAATCACACAAAAAGACAGCAAATTGGTAAAGCTGATGGAAGTGCTCCCATTGACATCAGTGAGCTGTAGGTCAAGCCCAAAGAGATTTGTTAGAATAACTTACTTTGAGTTCACCAGCTGAAATAAATCCACTGCTGTCAGCATCGTAACTGCGCCAGATCTGAATGGGGATAGATTGATGTGAGCAGATAAATATTGCACTTACTCATCTGCTTGGTGATAGATTGTAAAGATTCAAAGCAGAACTTCCATAATGAGCAAGTTGTTGCATTATCCAACATTTAATTAATTGTAGATGAAATAAAATAAACTTTTCACACAATAGGTCTTACTCACGCTTGGATGCTGTACATGCTACATGCTGTTATCACATGTTTAATGCAGACACACTGTCTATAAAAGGAAGACAATACTAAGAAATTGTTTCGTATTTCTTACCTAATTTGTACATGTAGCTTCTTTTATTGCTCTGAGTCAAAGCCATACACAACAACAAACATTGATCTGCAGAAGCCCCCAGCTTGTGTGTGAAGTAAAAGTAACCACATGTGGTCTTGGAAAAACTGAAATTCCATGTTGGGATACTTAAGGGCAGAGAGCAGAGGAAGATTGGGCAAAGTTCTATGGGCTTGTTGACCCAGCTTATGGAGGTTTCCTGCCCATGCCCTAACAGTCTAATGTTTCAGGATAAAATGGTGCTTAAAAATGTGCCTGCTCTGCTGTCTTGGTCTATACTGTACTGCAGATGAGGACTGGAGGGGTGAATTGATGAGTGGGGATGTTTGTCTGTAGTGGCATGACTGATAGGTGGATGGGAGTGTTTGTGAAGTGTAATGAGTTCTCTGGGTACTCTTAGTCCAGTCCTAGATACCATTCCTGTGTTTTGATTGTGTAAATAATGTAAAACCTTCTTGAACAGGTCAGAACATGTTTTGCTTCCACAATAGCCATCTATTTGCCAAGTTGTATTTTACAGAGGGCAGAAGGGTTGGTGTTGAAGAAGCTGGTGGTGTGCAAGGCGGAGGAGGTAGTGTGTAGATACAGACCCGCATGAATTCCACGCTGTTGTCCAAGGGGGTTTCCCGTCGGAAAAGCAGTAGGAAGTTCTCATCGTCCGGCAAGATCATATTTGCAAGCTGGAAAAAAAACCTTTAAAAACTTCCCACAACAAAAAACAAACCCACACCATGAAAGTAAAGAAAAAAACTTGGGTAGCTGCTGATCCAGTATGTGAAAGATTGGTTTGGCATGTTTCTCCCTTGGAAATAAATTCCAGACCAAAGGATCTGACCAATGTAATTCTCTGTAAGTCACCTCCTCTGCATCTAGGCTCTATCTTCCAGATCTCCCAAGTCTGCTGCTACAGGTCTTAATCACAGAATGGTTTGGGCTGGAAGGGACCTTTAAAGGTCATCCAATCTAACTCCCCTGCAATGGGCAGGCACATCTTCCACTAGATCAGGCTCTTCAGAGCTCCATCCAACCTGACATTTGATGTTTCTAGGGATGGGGCATTGACCAACTTCCTGGGCAACCCCTTCCAGTCCTTCACCACCCTCATTAAAAAAATGTCTTCCTTAATCTACTCTTAATCTTCCCCCTTTCAGTTTAAAACCATTACCCCTTGTCTTATTCCTACAGACCCTATAAAGTGTCTGTTCTAATTCTCCATCCTTCTATAAAAGAAATTCTGGGCTGGGGTTGTGCAGAGATACCTCCTGGATTTGCAAGCGTCCATCTGTGGTGACATCGTAGACAGACATGAATTGCTCCTTCATTCTCTGAACTTTTTCTTCTGTGATGGTGCTCTGCCATGGGGAAAACAAGTGCATGAAATTGCTGAGGACACCAGAACATCCTCCTGGATGAAAATCTCTCTTCACTCACAGATAATCACCAGGACCACTGTATTCTTACAGTAGGGGATAATGCTTTTAAAAGCCCACAGACACACCATTGTGGATGAATTTTTGGAAATAAGTCCTATGCATATCTTTGCAGCTACTAAGCTTTCAATTGGGAGATCAGTGTTTGGAAACCCCAAAATATTTCAATGTCACCTGCTTTTTTAGCCAACTGTTCCCATTATATCACTGGAGTTTGGTTTTGCTCAAGGGCATGTTACAGCAGTTTCCATCCTGCTTGTTTTCAGCTTGTGCTTTTCAGGAAGATATCCTTATCCTTGAATGACATGTCTGCAGTTCATTAGATCATCAGCCTTGAAAGGCGCCAGTGGAGCTAGATTGTTGCTTATTATTGCCTGTCAGCTGATTTAAGACCTGGCACCAAGCCCTGTCAGTGTTTCTGGGTTAATAGCACAGAATTTCAAGCAATTGACATTCCCTTTGTATCTGCTCAACCCCGCAATCGATTTATACATAGTGAGGCATCCTCCAGACTTGTCAGGTTATGTGTTTTGACAGGCATTGCTGTGACAGGTGAAATACAATGCTTAGGTTCATCAGGCATGGTTTCTTTAGCAGAAACCATGAGGGTACCCACTCTGACTGGACTACACAAAATACAATTTCTTCACCATGTGAAAAGGCTTCTGGTCATATGAGCTTTGTGGCTGGGCTGGGAAGCTCACCTAGTTAATCTTTCCTGAGCAATTAAATCCTATGTTACCCTTAGCACCTACACTGAGCAGAACCTGGCTTCTCTTCCAATCATGTGGGAGGTGGCCCTCCCTGGGAGGGGAGGGGAGGAAGGGAGAAGTATAACCCACGCTGGATTGTGGCATACCTTTGTAGAAATTTTTACAAGACAATAAATTAGCTTCCCAATCCCTGAATAAAAGTCCTTCAAAGTCTTTATCATCTCTATAACCAGGTGGATGTGGGACTACAGATATTCCTTCTTGGGTCTTCTAGCACATTTTCTCATTCTTTCTACCTGCTAGTGAAGCTCCATTAGGTTGTACACTCTCTTTTTTATTACTGTGACACAAGACCATGAGTGATTACCCAATGCACAGCTCCACACAGTGCAGCCTTTGGAGTGCATCCTTGCTGTGTAACACCAAGTGTGGCAGCTCCCAGTTTGGGGATGAAACACCAAGCAGTGATCCCACCAGGATGCACCCAAGGTTACATGCCTCAGGAGAAGTGGCTGAGTGGGTCCTAGGGCATGGCTGCAAGATCCTCCTTTCCCATGGTGGTGTCCAGAAAGTCCTGTGGGCTTGGATGTTGAGGGCACAGCACATCACTGAACACACACATTGGTTTTCTTTCCCCTTGGCATTATAACTCACCCTTGTGCTATTTAAATTGCCTTCTGACAGCACCTTGACACTTTGAGACACCTCCCAGGAGTTAGGTGAGCCTATCACTTGCCAGCTTCAATAGGCTTGCAAAGTACTCTGAAACGATCCTCCTCGGAGCCCAGTAGGATGAGATAATTCGAAAATTATAATCATAGCTGATATTTGAAAAGTGTGCTGTGCATTTCAAACCAGTCATTTGTTAAAACACTTATTCCTCAACTTGGTGCTATTGGTCAGCTATTAACCACCACTTTAGTGAGCTTTCTGTGGCAGGGACACTGTTACCTGCATAAAAATAGGACCATCTTTTTATAAACTGATTTAAACTATGGGATAAATGCCTGGAATACTTACTATATTTAAACAGCTCCAAAAGCTTTTAGTCAGAGGGGTTACACTACAGTGGACTTTTCAATTTGCACAATCTTTCTCTCTTCATAAATATTCTACTTATGAAACACAACTGGTAATAGTTCTACCAAAACCCAGCCTTCACTCACAAAGAATAAAATAATAAAATACAAACTGGCTTTCTGAAGATGCATATTCAAGACAAAATTATTTCTATATTAAATGTGTTTAGACTAGGAACAATACACCTCATGTTATGACCATTAGGTTTCAAAGGAGACCTTTCTCTTTAACAAAAAAAAAAAAAATCCCAGAAGACTGAAAAAAGCCCCAACAGATCAAATAAGACATTCCAAACAGAAACTAAAGTGGGGAGACCTGATTTTCAAGATTGACCTACTGGTGGTGCAAACAAGTAGCTTGCTCTATTTTCCTTTCTATTCCAAAAACATTTAAAAGGCTGGAAAATCCCCATAATCTACCTGATCTGTTCCCTTTGTCCAAGAAAGGACATGATCTGAAGATTCACCTCACCCCACTAGCAAGAAGGCTGGGGCTACACAAGAAGTTGGGAAGGGACGCAGCCAGGACAGCTAACCACAACTGACCCAAAAGATACACCATACTATATGGCATGGTCCTGTCTTGGGTTGCAATGTGGGATGTAACCAAAAGTATGTGTTCTGTTACCATCTGTTAAAAACAGCTGGTGCAATGTTCTTTATCTCTTCCATGACTCATCCCTCATAACTCCTGGGGGATATCTTCTGTTAATGGACCATTGAGTCAGTCACTGCATGACTGATAAAATTACATCAACCAGTTGCTCCAGATGACAGAAACTACATCAGTCAGATGCTCCACCCAGGGGGAGGAGCCAACCATCCCTACCTGGATATAATCTGAGACTTGGACCACCACAGCAGCCTTTCTCCACTGGATTCCCAGAAGAAGACAGGACCCATCTACACCAGCACTGGACCTTCAGAGGAAAACTACACCCTTCTACAGGATCACTGCTTCAACACAACCACATCTGTCACTGCAGGAGGGCTGCAGCCACCATTTAATCTGATTGCTACCAACACCCTGACCAACAGGGCGTCAGGTTATATTCTGACTGTGTCAGTGTTTTTTTGTACTACTGCATTTCTATTTTAATTTTCCTGGTAAAGAACTGTTATTCCTATTCCCATATCTTTGCCTGAGAGCCCCTTGATTTCCAAATTATAATAATTCGGAGAGGGGTTTTGTTTACATATTTCTATTTCAAGAGAAGTTTCTGCCTTCCTTAACAGACACCTGTCTTTTTAAACAAAGACAGGTGCTCAGCATATAGAGCTGGGGGAAGAAGGGGAAAAGAAAGATGTTTGGAAAGTGGTGTTTGTCTACTGAAGTCAGCATGATGGAACTTTGCTTTCCTGGACATGGCTGAACAGCTGCCTGCCCATGGCAAGCCATGGTGAATGAATTCTTTGTTTTGCCTTGGCTTGTGCCCTTGAGTTTTGTTTTAGCTATTAAAACATCTTTATCTCAACCCATCAGTTTTCTCACTTTACTTTTCTGATTCCTTTCCCATTTCACTGGGGAGTGAGTGAGTGAGTGAGTGAGTGAGTGAGTGAGTGAGTGAGTGAGTGAGTGGCTTTGTGGGGCTGCCTGCTGGGTTAAACCATGATATAACAAATAGCAGCATAGAAAAATGTGCTTCTTTCCCCTTGGCATTATAACTCACCCTTGTGCTATTTAAATTGCCTTCTGACAGCACCTTGACACTTTGAGACACCTCCCAGGAGTTAGGTGAGCCTATCACTTGCCAGCTTCAATAGGCTTGCAAAGTACTCTGAAACGATCCTCCTCGGAGCCCAGTAGGATGAGATAATTCGAAAATTATAATCATAGCTGATATTTGAAAAGTGTGCTGTGCATTTCAAACCAGTCATTTGTTAAAACACTTATTCCTCAACTTGGTGCTATTGGTCAGCTATTAACCACCACTTTAGTGAGCTTTCTGTGGCAGGGACACTGTTACCTGCATAAAAATAGGACCATCTTTTTATAAACTGATTTAAACTATGGGATAAATGCCTGGAATACTTATTGTATTTAAACAGCTCCAAAAGCTTTTAGTCAGAGGGGTTACACTACAGTGGACTTTTCAATTTGCACAATCTTTCTCTCTTCATAAATATTCTACTTATGAAACACAACTGGTAATAGTTCTACCAAAACCCAGCCTTCACTCACAAAGAATAAAATAATAAAATACAAACTGGCTTTCTGAAGATGCATATTCAAGACAAAATTATTTCTATATTAAATGTGTTTGAACTAGGAACAATACACCTCATGTTATGACCATTAGGTTTCAAAGGGGACCTTTCTCTTTACCAAAAAAAAAAAAATCCCAGAAGACTGAAAAAAGCCCCAACAGATCAAATAAGACATTCCAAACAGAAACTAAAGTGGGGAGACCTGATTTTCAAGATTGACCTACTGGTGGTGCAAACAAGTAGCTTGCTCTATTTTCCTTTCTATTCCAAAAACATTTAAAAGGCTGGAAAATCCCCATAATCTACCTGATCTGTTCCCTTTGTCCAAGAAAGGACATGATCTGAAGATTCACCTCACCCCACTAGCAAGAAGGCTGGGGCTACACAAGAAGTTGGGAAGGGACGCAGCCAGGACAGCTAACCCCAACTGACCCAAAAGATACACCATACTATATGGCATGGTCCTGTCTTGGGTTGCAATGTGAGATGTAACCAAAAGTATGTGTTCTGTTACCATCTGTTAAAAACAGCTGGTGCAATGTTCTTTATCTCTTCCATGACTCATCCCTCATAACTCCTGGGGGATATCTTCTGTTAATGGACCATTGAGTCAGTCACTGCATGACTGATAAAATTACATCAACCAGTTGCTCCAGATGACAGAAACTGTCCACCCAGGGGGAGGAGCCAACCATTCCTACCTGGATATAATCTGAGACTTGGACCACCACAGCAGCCTTTCTCCACTGGATCCCCAGAAGAAGACAGGACCCATCTACACCAGCACTGGACCTTCAGAGGAAAACTACACCCTTCTCCAGGACCATTGCTTCAACAGAACCACATCAGTCACTGCAGGACTGCAGCCACCATTTAATCTGATTGCTACCAACACCCTGACCAACAGGGCGTCAGGTTATAT